ATGGCATCATGATTGGCATATGGCAAGGCACTAATGGCAAGGCACTAATGGCAAGGCACCTGGCCCTTTTTTCCCGCAGGCACTGCATTTATATCACAAGTTGGGCCATGCCGCGTGAAAAAACCACATGTGACCCAGAAACCCAAAACGTTTACATGTTGTTTTATTTGTTTTGTAGTCAACCGCACTTTTTACATCTTTTTACATCACCACCAGAACAACATGGATATAGTTTTTGGAAAGATTCTCGGACAGGAATTCTTTTTCTCAAAGTTGTTCCTCATATTGTGCAGGGGAATCTCCCGGTTTATGTGGGTGACATGACATTCTCCTCTTCCTGCCTTACCTGTGCCCTCACATATCTGGGCCGAATACCCACCCCGGCCGAGCTAGAATGCGACAAAATGTTGCAGCTAATAGACGGAAATAGCATATGTCGGAATACATGTCGGAACATATCGCAGTTAAAATTGAAACGTCAACACATGTGTCAATAAACATGTCAAATTATAGACATGTGACATGTGGGATAAAGACATATTTTCTGAAACAAGCACTCTTTCACAGTGATGTCGATGTGGACGTACTGAAAGCTACGTCTCAAGGATGAGACCACGAATCGCCGAAAAACGCTGTGTAGCTGCAGCTGTCATGTTTGCCCTTGGGGCGGGGTCACAAATGGGGGAAACTGCCCTATCTTCTTGGCACATTTGGGTTCAGTTGAATGATGTTGCAAACGCTGATCGGACTTTTGGATTCTTTTGGCTGACATTTGCGTCAGCTTCCTGGCATGTTCAGGTGCCGCGGTCATGTTTACTGTTGAAGGCCTGACGCGTTACTCGACGCTTCACTGATGCGGGCCGGCCTGGTCAGGCGCAACGCTGAGACGGGCAACGGTTGCGGACGTTGAGATCGAGCAGCCTATCGGGGACGAAACGTAGACTAGTCATGGAGAGAGAAACGCAGCATGGAGCTCGACAAAGGCTTAGTTTGTTCATTAATTACCCTCACCTGCCGTGATTCGTTCAACTATGTTTAAGTAGTATGGTCTGATAAAAATGTGCAGTGACTGTTTGCAAACATGGCTGCGGTCAAAACACACATTGTGTACGTGTGTTTTCGACAGAAAGCCGTCCGGCCTGGACTCCGGCGGTTTAAATGTCTTAAGTTTCCATGACACGCCAGTGCTCCGCCCCGGTTGAAACACTTTTCCCACCAGATTGGCCATGGTTTAGTAGCACCGGGCGCGAGAAAAAGTGCCACTGCAGGGGCTGGGGCTGTTGTCACTGCCACACCTGGATGGACCACAGGTTTCGTTTTGCGCCGTTCGTTGCATGTTTTGCGGGTGGTTGAATGTGTTCCTCGTCTCGCGGGTAGAAGCCTTAATCCGGGGCTACAATCATGATGCTCATATGAGTCTTCCTTAGTTTCTATAGTTTCTCAGTCTCTTATCTCTAAATTTCTCTAAATGTTCTTGGTGATTCAAGAGATAATTCGCCACTGGGCTAACCCACCGAACTTGGACAACACGCTTGCGAGGTGGGAGCTGTGACCTTGTCCAGTGTTTCAGGTGGAACTGTGTTTCAAACAGCAAAAAGATGCTGGAAATGGAGCGCGAGTTTGTAACCATTTAGAAAAAGATGGTGATTCAGATTCAGTTCATCTCATTTTCGACGAAGTTTTCGGGTTTTCCCATCTTTTCGGACTGTCAGCTTCCGCTAGCCGCTAGCGCCATATTTTCCTCGCTGGACTCACCACGCCGTCGCACCATGTCGCAGCACCATGTCGCACCTCGCTTCGAAGCTGCGATCGAAGGGAGATTTCATGGTAGTCATTGGGTTTCCGAAATATTAAAATCTCATTGGACGGATTGTTTATAAAATAATTGACCGTGTATATATATATATATATTATTATACATATTATACATAGTATACAGTATATATTTTTTCAAAAATACCAAAAACTATGTTCACGAAGGGAGGGTCAAAAACGCAAACATGATCTGACCGTTTTCAGCAACGATGTCCATCAAATGTATATTCTTAGTAAGTAACAATCAATTTTCAAATTATGAGTCACGGTTCGATGGAATTTGAAGCCCACCTATTCCACAAGATTCCGAATTAGTATTTTTAGATGTTTTTAGAACCTTATATAATCTTGTATATTATATATATACACTATAAATATATATATATATATAGTTACAATTTAAGAAGTCCATTTACTGTAAAAGCAATTCCCAACAACAGGAATACAGAGTTGGCAACAGGTCACAAGTCAGTCACGTCACGTGCGGACTCGGGGCTCATCGGGTCTCATCGGGGCTCACAGGATTCCACAGGGCGACATTTTTTTAAGGATCAACACGGATCAACCATTGTCAACCATCAAATAGTTGTCCAATAATTGTCCAATAATAAATATAAACATTAAAATAAACCAAACATTGTCAACCATGACAACTATTGTCAACCATCAAATTTTGCTTTAATTGATTTCCAATAGTTGTCATACCGTCGAATTTCTGAACATAAGCCATCTCCAAATCTGCCCAGTGACACTGGAAACCGCCCCAGCCATGCTTACGTGGTGAACCCGCGCAGGGTGCACGAACCTTACCGTGGCCAAGGGGAATAAGTCAGGCCATGCTCTGTCAGAGAGTTCTCCCTTGGCAAAAGGTGTGTGGCATGGATAAATATGTAAATATCTAATTGGTTTTGTCCCAAACATTGGTTGTATCTTTCATGGAAACATGATGATTATCTGTCTGAATTCTAGGGACCCTTATGTTCAGACAAACCCATGTCATCACAAGTTCTGAGGGGTCAAACATGGTCAATCCGTTAAACAAACGTGGCAATGGTAGATGATTTCCCCATTGACACCTCCAGGAAATCTTCGGGGTTTTCCAGCCACGTTTCATTACCGGCTAAACCACAAAGTGTGGGGACCTGGCAATCGGTGTTTGGCTTATCCCCCAAGGCATCCACAAGGCTGAGCCAAATATTCTGAGGGGGATAAGTGGTGACAAGTTTCCCTGTAGTTAACATTCAAGTTTATCAAGAAAATCTGTAATGTTCTATGGAAATTACATACAGCACAGTTTGTTCTAGTACAGTTTGATAAATGATGATAAATGCATAGTGTATCAATAGAGAATATCATATACAGAATATGTTCATTGTATATGATAGTACATGATATGTCCAGTATATAAATTTATTACTATAGTATACTATATATATATATATTATAGATATGATATTCTGTATTATGAGTGAATTTCCAATATAGAGAACATCATATCAACAATAATTGATTGGTGATATTCACTGGAGATATGATATTCTCTAATAATATTAACAGATTAACAACATTGCACTGGAGAATATCATATCATGTGCAATGAGATAATAAGAATATCATGTGCATGAACAACTGGAGAATAATATTATCATATCATAATAATAACAACATTCATGAATCTTCCAGTTTTCATGTGTTCCCTGAGTTTCCGTGCGTCATCCGTGCCGGCGATTCCGTGACCCTACCGTGGTTGCCGTGGATGGCGGAAGGCCATCGTTGTAGGATGTGATCGGGAAATCATGGGGGAAATCATGGGGAAATCATGGGGAAATCATGGGGAAATTTGCCATGCCCCCAATTCAGGCAAGTTTGAAGGATGACATGAGACCGTGCTCAATCACCTTTCAAGCAAGCGGTCTTTGAGGGTACTCAGGATGTGCCACACTTCCTCAGAATGACGGTAGCATATCTATGAAAATCAGTGCTCATGGTAAAATCTTATATGTAGATGTTGATTTTGACTGTGATACATGTGTATATATATATACAGATACAGATATCGGCTTATATTCCCCCATCAATAATTATTGAGTTATAATTGGGTCATATTGGGTTATAGTTATAACATATCAACTGATGATAACCCAATAAATATTGGATTATCAATAGATATTCTAAAGATGATCATCGATTGATGTCCGGTCCCGCTGGGGGATCCAGTAACCCACCCGATCCTGTCCAGGTGCCCGTAGAGGCGTCGCGGCCTGGCTCAACAAATCCATCGAACATAGAGATGTGAAGATTCCGATTTCATTGGGATTCCTGGTATGGGCACCCAAATCTGGTATGTAATTAGTGGCAAATTTCTGTTCTCTATGGTCTCTATGGATGTGAATTTGCTCATCTTCACTGGTCAACTCCTCATGATTAAATCCGGAAGTTTCATGGTGAAGATCTCCAATTTCCGATGGTTGTTTTTTCCATCTTCACACCGAAACTTGCAGAAATGGAGCAGTTACACAATCCATAAGAAATGCTTGGAAAAGAAACAGTATCATCATCCAGTATGTTTTGTGTTCCAAATGTTACATCACTATATCACCAACCGAATAGACACTGATCATCAACCTTTCGTGGCGAGTCATTTGTTTTAAATCGGGCGTTGAAACCCCTGGAACTTTGGGGTTTCAAAAGGCCCAAGTCTTGACGGCACAGATGGGCGTTTCCAGAACTTCAAGGATCCCATAGTCATACCCACTATTTCAATCTATTTCCACACATAGAACCAATAAATGATCATAAATGTCCTCCAAGAACCCAATGGAACCATCAACCACTGCCGCGGTCTTTTTGCCACCCGCAACTTCGAGCCCCTCAGGGATCATTCTCCCTGGGTCCAATTGATCCAATGTGGACCATTTTTGTTGGAAATTCGGGAAGACCCCAAAATTTGTTTGGACCTACCCTCTGGTAATTTAACGTAGCTATTGAAAATGACCATTGATAGTGGATTTTCCCATTAAAAATGGTGATTTTCAATAGCTATGTTAAATTACCAGAGGGTACCCATGTGAGTAGGGTTGACATGATCAACAGCAAACGGAATAGTGGGCCTTTGTCTGAATATGGTTAGTATACGTAGCAAATAGCCGCCATAGCCATTGTTCATGCAAAACAAAATATACTCCGTCGGTTTTTAGGTGGCACCCTGATTTCAAACCCCAATCATCCAGTCTGGAAATGATCGAGATCTCTTGAGCCATAGCCACATTAGCAAAACGGGAAGCAGGACCAGCAACTGACACCCAACTCCCCACGATCGCCCGCTGGCTTGGGTCGATCCATGACCTGCGCCTCACGATGAGCCTTGGGTGAGGATGGCATAGAAATATGTAGGCTGAATCCACCATTGATTTTAGAATGGCCGTAATTAATCTTGATCGTCTCAATGTTTGCTGAAAATGCTCTTGGTGAAAGATTAGGTGTGGTATGGTTTCTGCGAATGGGAATTCCACAACACCTGGGATATTATGTGTATACATAGTATAATTATATATATATTATGTTTTTGTGCAACTAACAGAGAGATGATACCTGCTATTCGTGGGGATATTGTTGAGATAGAAGTGTTGACATACTACCTGAGACGGAGATGCATTCATGTGATTTGTGTTCACCCCTACTGAGAATAGACACATCAAAAATGTAGGGGAGGGCCCTATCCCAGGCCCGTCCCTCCCGAATCACATCCAGTTCTATTGATTAAGCCAATCCTTTTTCTGCGGCATTCAAGACTGGCATTCAAAAAGCATGGCATCGAGGAAAAAAAATAATCCCCCTCTTTGTCAACTTTGAAGATTGAACTCAGTTTGTGACCCAAATCACTTGTCGATTGGTTTGTTAACGTCCCTCCCAAACTCCATTTTGGGGCATTCCAAACCTACCTGTGAAAAAGCGAATCATTTCGTCAAAATCACCACAAATTGGGGTCCAAAATTTCTGGATCCAAATTGGCCAAAGAGAAAATGTCCCAATCACCGGGGAGCCAAATTGGCGTATGAAAGCACTATAAAATCCCCATTCAAATAGCAATTGATGTGATTTATGATGATTTATGTGTATGGTTTTGTCTTAATATTGGCTAGCCCTAGATGTCATGAACCGTTCATCACCATGTTCTTAAATTTGCCATTCGGGGATATATGATAGACCCCTTTTCAGACGCACCCATCTCCCCTCTCCAAGGCGCTGCAGGACTTGAAGCCTCCAAAAAGCGCTGGGGGCCATGTGTTGGGAACCCACCATGGCAGATATACCACATATATACCTCGAGAAGATAGAGAATGGTTAAAAAAGACAACTCGAATGGAAGTCTTGTTGAAAGCTCCAAAATCGATCTACTTCATGATGATTACATATATAAGCTAGCAGATATGTAGCAGGTATACACCATAGCAACAGTGTGGCAAACCCAAAACCATCAACCATCCTGAATTGTTACCACAAAATGGGTGGTGGAGGGAAAAAAAAGTGCAAGGACAAGTTACCACATGATACCGGATATATGCCCGGTAGAATTGCAAAACATCACTGAAGTCGAAGAGAACCACTTTTAGAATCTTGTAGATATGTTTAGGGGAAAAAAAACTATATCATATATATATAGACATTATCAGCGTCAATATCCACCCAATGGATCAGCATCAGATTTGATTGGTGTAGCTGTCAACGGATTGACCACCAGGAGGCTTAAGCTTCTCTCGATTTCACGGGAAAAATGTCCAGCCCATGTGAGATGTTAGGTGCATGGATCCCCTCTGGCCCCAGTTCGCGGAACCGAAGATGTTCCATGCCTTGTGCTTTGTGGCCGAAAACTCTTTGAAAACGGGAGCCAGAAAGCTTACGGCCGTGCAGAACAACAGCCTTGGGCACGTTGCTGCTGAAACAGCAGAAGGTCTAGATGATATTGGGACCGTCCCCAAGCCAGAAGATATGTAGTGTATATATATATACCATCTGGTTATTTAGCATAGCCATGGAATATCACCATTTTTAATAGCTAAACCATCTATTTCTATGGGCCATCTATACCATGGCTATGTTAGTCATAACCAGAGGGTAGCTCGGAAATGCGGTACGAATGGACAAAAACCTGGTCATCAGGAAGATAGACCCAAAAAATCGAGCTCAAGACATCGCCAAAACATGACCCGCTGCTGTGCTAACCCAGCATCATCCCATTAAGATCATATAATGCTGGTAAAGCAATAATAAACCATCCCCCAAATCACCATTTTTATAGGTGGTATAAACCATTCCCAAATGGGTGGTTGATGATTGTTTTGACCACACTAGTCCATTATATTATTAATATATCAAAACAATGATAAAGATTGATAAAGATACCCCTGCACCCAAGCCGATTCATCCCCTCATCAACAACCAACGTGCGCTGTTTCAACCAGCGTCTCTCCCACGATCAGCGCTCCAATGTGCACTCCCCAGGCCCAGAGTTGCAGTAGGGCCGCATGCCACATGAGGAGTGCAAACGCACCTGGTCACGATCCCATCACTATCCCATCGTTGCATATCATTACTGTAGTTGGTGTAACATATTCCAAGTTTACTCTTAAAATTCCTTTCTTTTCTGTTGGCTTTTGGGCTATTTTGGGGTCAAAATTCGGAATCCCCAAGTTGGAGAGCTTACTATAAACCAAACAAAATCTGGGATTTTCACCAATTTTCACCTATAAAGTTGGAGGGTTTATTACACATGACCAAAACCATCCAATTTTCACCTATAAACACCCTATAAACATCCTATAAACATCCTACAAACATCCTATAAACATCCTATAAACATCCTACAAACATCCTATAAACATCCTATAAACATCCTATAAACATCCTATAACCTATACCCAGTTGCTGCAAAAGAGGCCAGCCTCGGTAGCCACCGATGGCTCGACCCTCGCCCTCCGGTGCCGGCTCGCAGCGCTCCGGATCTGCCAGGCGTCGGGTCAAGGTCAGCTGGAACTGCGGCGAGGCCAAAAACTCGGCCGAGGCACGCCTAGGGATGGCAAAGGATGGGAAAATGGATAGGAAAACGTGGGAGATTCATGGGAAGCCGTATATTTTTGATGTAGAAAACCTAAGAAAATGATTTGCATATACATATATAATCATATATATAATCATATATATTCATATCATAATTGATATAAATATCATTGATATATATATATATACGGCAAATGCCTGGGTTTTGCCCGGACCTGCAATGACGACGGGAGACGCATCATCATCATCATCATCAACATCATCAAACCCTTATTGACGATCTTCAATGAATGTAGAAGTTTAACGGGGTGGGAGAATTAAACCCTTATCGAAGATCTTCAATGAATGTAGAAGTTTAACGGGGGTGGGGGAATTAAACCCTTATTGGAGATCTTCAATGAATGTAGAAGTTTAACGGGGGTGGGAGTTTAATATTCCCTAATATCTTTGTTGATCTTCCCAATTGAATGTAAAGTTTAACGGGGGTGGGAGTTTAAGCGCAGACGGCCACGGAAACGAGCCAGACAGGACAAAGCAGGCAGGCAACAGCCAGAGACACCCGACCCAGCAGGTACAAACCAGAGACGGCAAGAAACGAGCCAGGCAGGACAACGCAGGCAAGGTACAGCCAGAGACGCCCAGCCAAGCAGGTAGGAACCACAGACGGCCGAAAGCGAGCCGGACAGGACAACGCAGGGAAGCGACAGCCAGAAACGCGCAAGCCAGCAGGCACGAAGCCCAGACGGCGGGAAACAAGCCAAAAAAAGAAGGAAGAAGCAGAAATGTAACGACCAGAAAGGTCCAGAACCCAAGAGGGATCGAGTTCAGCTCGTTCCGAAAGCGAGGGAAAGTCGGATCCAAAAAGAGCAATTTTTTTCATTTTTGCGCTTGACACCCTGAACCTTCAGTAGCAGGCAGGTTTCGCGTTTTCGGGCGCCGCCGGCCGAGTCAAAAATACGCGTTTTTTATTTTGGCTGCCTGTCAGGGCGGGTTCAGAGACAGCGCGGTGATTGCAACGGTCAGAAATGCGCAGAGCCAGCCGCAACCAAGCAGGCACGACGCTGAAACGGCGAGAGGCGAGCCAGAAAAGGAAAAGAGGAGGCGCGCGCGACGGCCAGAAACGCGCAAGGAAGCAGGCACAAACCAGAGACGGCGGGAAAGAAACAGCCAGAGACGTCCAGCCAAGCAGGTAGGAACCGCAGACCGCCGGAAACGAGCCGGACAGGGCAGAACAGGTAGGCAACAGCCAGAAACACGCCACCAAGCAGGTGCAAACAAGAGACGGCAAGAAACGAGCCAAACAGGACAACGCAGGCAAGTAACAGCCGGAGACGCCCAGCCAAGCAGGTAGGAAGCGCAGACGGCCACGGAAACGAGCCAGACAGGACAAAGCAGGCAGGCAACAGCCAGAGACACCCGACCCAGCAGGTACAAACCAGAGACGGCAAGAAACGAGCCAGACAGGACAACGCAGGCAACCAACAGCCAGAAACGCGCAAGCCAAGCAGGTAGGAACCACAGACGGCCGAAAGCGAGCCGGACAGGACAACGCAGGCAAGCGACAGCCAGAAACGCGCAAGCCAGCAGGCACGAAGCCCAGACGGCAGGAAACAAGCCAAGAAAAGAAGGAAGAAGCAGAAAGGTAACGACCAGAAAGGCGCAAGCAAGCAGGCACCAGCGGAGGACAGCGGGAAAGAATTGAAAAAGAATGCGTTTTGAAGGCGTTTCACGTCCAGAACCCAAAAGGGATCGAGTTCAGCTCGTTCCGAAAGCGAGGGAAAGCCGGATCCAAAAAGAGCAATTTTTTTCATTTTTGCGCTTGACACCCTGAACCTTCAGTAGCAGGCAGGTTTCGCGTTTTTGGGCGCTGCCGGCCGAGTCAAAAATACGCGTTTTTTATTTTGGCTGCCTGTCAGGGCGGGTTCAGAGACAGCGCGGTGATTGCAACGATCAGAAATGCGTAGAGCCAGCCGCAACCAAGCAGGCACGACGCTGAAACGGCGAGAGGCGAGCCAGAAAAAAGGAAAAGAGGGAAGGCGCGCGCGACGGCCAGAAACGCGCAAGCAAGCAGGCACAAACCAGAGACGGCGGGAAACGAGCCAGACAGGACAACGCAGGCAAGTAACAGTCAGAGACGCGCAGCCAAGCAGGTATAGGAACCACTCAAACTCCCTGATCTTTGCCAAAGGGCGCAAAAGAGAAGCATTCTGGGTCAGTCTAGATCAAGAGGAGCACCGAGAATTCTTCACCAAGAATAGGTGAGCCACGACTTTGTTGTATTCTACACCCACATCAAAAATGGTGTGGTGCGGAGCCCTCGCAAGACCGGTGCATCTTCCAAGTCGTTTTGCAGTATGCGTGGGCGTCTCGATCAGATCGGTTCCAGCTGGCAGCACTTGGTGCAGGAACGTAGCTTGTGCTTGACATGTCACAAACAGTTGTCAGACCAACAGTTATTGAAGATAATTACAGCTATCGAACATGCTCCGAGCCTTGAAAGCAACAGAGCAAAGAGGAGCCAGGTTTCTAAGGGCCGTAAGTTGAGACATTCATTTTGAGCCGACAAAATCCAAAAAAGAGAACATGATGCATATATCATTTAACAGACACACAACAGCTTCACAACACCATCTCTCCATGGCCGCTGCGTGGCAGCACGTGCAGATGAGCTGTACCTACTTTCAGTGCTGTGATCCGAACATGGCATTTTGCAGAGCATGGCATAGCCAAGAACACTTACTTGTCATGGCTGCCGTGATGCCCCTGTTTCCATGAACTCTTTTCAGCGCCTTTTTACTGTTAAATTTCAAAAGTTAGGGGTTTTAAGGGAAAGTTCAGTCAGAAAAAGGGTCGTAATTCTGAGGGCATGGTTTTAAGACTGGTTGATCCCTGGGAAGCTCACTCGCAATCGGAAAAGCAAGCTGGTTGCACGGTTGCACCAATGTTTTCTCACTGCCACAGCAGTACATCGCACATGACATGGCTGGGATATTTTCCCGCTGCCACAGCCACAGGATGGATAACAGGTTCAGCATATGGGTTCCTCTCACAAATCATAACTATAAGAAGATGGGAAATTGAAATCAAAGTAAAAATGATCATCCAACACAAGCGATTTCAACCTGTCTCGATACGATGATGTGTTATATCTTGAACGTCTGGAAGCCTGGAAACCCATAGAAAAATTATCCAGCTCAGTGTGCTTCATTCAGCCTTGGGTGTTCTTCAGACCCAAGATCTCGCAAATGGGCCCCTGCCGCTGTGCTGGCTTAAAGGTCACCTTCTCCTCAGCCGCCTGTGGAAGTGGACATGGTCATGACCAATTTGAAGTTAACATTTTTGGGGTCACATTTCCCATCGTGATCTCATTATTAGTCCCATAATATGTTCCAATTACTATAGATTATAGATATGAATATGAAATACTTGGTGTTGGGTTTTCCTGTTGGATCCGGGTTTAGTTTTGTAAAGATGCGAGTGGCAGCAGGATCGGGGAAAAAAACATTGTACCAGATACAGTGCACAGTGAACTAAACTAAGTCTTACCAGTGCATTTTAAATCATGGAAATAGTAGATTACCTTGTTAATCCTTGCTATCTATGAATCTACAGTTAGTAGTTAGTAGTTGCCTGGCCTTGCGCTTCTTCGAGTTCGGCGATCGGGAGATGGCGCCATCCTTCAGGTGTCAACAGGGATTGGCAGGGAGCTCGTCAGGCACAATCAAAAATCAAAAAACATCATATGTTGATATATCATGTGAATCATGTGTGATGGAAATGTAATGTCAGTATTCAGTATGGGTTATGGGTATAAGTATGAATCAGAGTCTGAATCAGCCTGAATCAGCATACCATATTCATTATACTGATATGTCACATGTCGGTCGGCCCCTAAACCTAAAGTCAGACTTGACCGGCACATCAACGATGGTTCCCGAACACCCCAAAACCCCAAAGTCCGGGTCCTCCGGCAGATCCTTAGGCTTCTTACCAGCATCAGCCTTGGCGGCGGACTTGTTCTTTGCTGTCTTGACTGTCTTTGCAGCTGCTGCTGCTGCTGCTGCTGCGGATTTTTTCTTGGCTGCTGCTGCACTTTTGGCTGATGCCTTTGCCTTACCTTTGGCCGCGGCCTTTGCGGCTTTCTTTGCTTCTGCCTTTGACTCCTTTGACTTTGCTGAGGCTGCTGCTGTGGTATTCTTGTACTTCTCCTTGTCCTTGGGTTTGGTCTCAGTAACCGCCTCAGGGTCGCTATTTTCGAACATCTCCGACTCCTCACTTTCCTCGGCATCCTCATCCATAGCCTCAGCATCTGCAGTGTTGAGACTGGTATTGGAATCCTTGCACTTGTCACTGGTCACAAGTTCAGCCATGGTCTCAGTCTCAGTCTCACCGTTGTTCTTCTCAGCATTGGCTGGGGGATCCTTGGTCGCCAACTCGAGTGTCTTGTCAGGGACAACCTCAACAGTCTCACCGTCACCACCACCATCACTGTTTGTTTTTTCAGCATCCTTGGTCTTGGTGACAACCTCAGTCTCGCCGTCACAGGCACTGTTTTTCTTTTCGACATTGGGATCATTGGTCTTGGTCTTGGGCTCAACAGTCTCACTGTGTTTCTCGGAAATGGGACCGGGATCCTTGGTCTCGGCATTGGTCTCGTCATCTGCCTTGTCCTTTTCGGCATCAGGATTGGGATCATTCTCGGTCACTGAAGCTGCAGCCGACTGAGTCACCTCAGGCTCAACGTTGTGCGCACCGGTCATGGTCATGGTCATGGTCATGGCGCCCTCGGTGTTCACTGAGTTTGAAGCTGGCTTGGGCCCGGATTTGGTAACAAAGTCCAAAAAGTCAATCAGATCTTCATGGAAGTCATTGCCCGGCGCACACCATTCCCACTCCTCTTGCTGCAGGTCTTGGTCCATGAGAAGATAATTGGTGTAGGTATGCATCTGTGAATGTTCGCCGACCTTTTTGCACACCTGTTCGAGATCCCAATTCGAATCCAAGTTCCCCTCTTCGACCTCCTGCAGAACCTTCTGCGCGAAAGCAATGATGTTGGCATCACCAGTGATGTCAGGGATTGGGTTGTTGTTCTGGGACACTGGTTGTGCTTGGTTCCCTTCGTCACCCTCCTTGTCCATGGCCGTGTTCCCTTTCTCCGCCATCTCCATCTTCACTTTCCTCCCCAACTGGGACATCGAGAGCAAATAGACGTGGCACGCAGGTCCCCTCAGATGGCAAGTTTGGAAGCTCTGTGTAACAGAACATATTATCATATGGTGGTGTAGGTGTAGGTGTAGTGTGTTATACACCCTGGCCTTCTGCCTACTGAGTATACCAAGAAGTGATGAAGATAAAAGTAAAACTGCCCCCTGTCACTGTCACCCTCTTCATTCTTATCATCATCATCATCATCATCATCATAGTAACGTCTCAGGGTTGAAAGTCTGATAGTGGAGTTGATGGTTGAAAGACTCATGACGATGGCGGAAATGAAAAAGCCAAGTCACCCAAGACACCTCTTCATGAACAGACATTGGGCTTGTTGTGATGCGTGCATCATGCAAGACATCACACGAAGGGAGATGCTATTCGCGTTGCCACAGGCCTTCTCACAGACTATGCTCGCATAGGGTATGTAGAGAATGTCCCCAGCGATCACATATGTCACACGTAGTGAACCAAGCTTCTCAAAAATGTTGGGGTCGGTGTCGTCCAAATCACGAAAATCAGCAGATACATCCTGTGGCACAGACAGTGCACACCAGAACCACTCATGAACCATAACACTCCATTCAACGAGAATGACTCTAAAATAAACGGTAAAGAAGCTGTAATGGATTGTGGACCTTAACATGATGGCAATATAGTTACTGCAAGCTGCTGCTGAATGCAAAAAAAACCAACATCACCACTACCCCAACACTCCTCCAGGAGCTTGATAAATTCACTGATGCCAGCTTCCTCATTTTCCATGAGTTCCGTGACATGGGGGTGTTTGAGCTTAGCCATCTCAAGGGCATCCACCGTAGCAACCAATCGGGTTCCTTCATATTGATAGCATAGGGCCCCCGTACCAAAAGGGAGTGTGCCAGTGTAGCAGCTACCCTGACGAGAGCCACACCACGTCACCCCTTTGATGCGGTTGACATCCTTGGTCAGCTCAGCTTCTGCCACAGGTGGCTGCAAAGATTGGCCGTAGGCCCACGACCTGGGGCCGGGGTTCGGTTTGGTGGGAGCTGGACAAGGCATATGGAGTCGATGATGATATAGATGCTCGTCTAGTCGTCTAGTCAAGTAATACAGTAATACAATACTTCTAGATTCTAGATTCTATAATTCTATACTATGGTAATCTATAGTAGTAGTCGCGTTGCTGCAGTAGTATTAGTATAACAGTACAACTAACTTATATTAATTAGTAAGGTGGTAAAATCATCAGAAATCTACAAGAGCCCAAAGTGGATCCCAGTAGCACTGAACAATGACCAATTAGGTGAAGATTACATATGATTGAGTGGTTGACTTGATGGGAACTGAAGTTCGATCTGGGAGAAACCAGGAGAATGAGATTTGATCATAGCTCATAATTCTGAAATCATTCTGAAACCTGAAGCTTGATCATCGAATCAAAACCATCGATTAATGATTAATGTTCACATGCATTGTGACACCAAGATACTTGTCTGCAAAGCTGTTGCGACACAGCACAGCATCACTGAAGTCTTCTTTGCACTCAATTTTGATCAAGTTGTCAATCTCACACTGGAGTTGCTTGTCTAATCCAAGTGCTTCTCCGGGTCCTTCAGCAGGGGACCCGAGACGACCCGATGAAGTTTTGTTCACATCTTTCGTCCATATCTCGCTGCATTCATTCGCAAAGCGCTGCGCGTCAGCGTTCAGCATCTTTGACATGATGTTGATTTGGTTCGGATTGAGCTCAGGTGAAGCCTGTTGTCGGGTGAAGACGTGAAGACCAAACAAACCAAACTAATCAGAACTTTCAACAGACATTGGACATGCAGCAGCCTGCAGCATAATGATTTTGTCCACAAGTACGAGGGTCAGATTCGAATGAATGATGGGAATGGGAATGGGAATATTTATATTATCATCATGTCATGTCACATTGTCATTGTATGTATTTGTCTTGTGTCGTTTATCGTGAATGTTATGTCACAGTCCTTCGTGATAGGAGTGTCTTTCTTAAAGGCAAATTTGGTCTGAGACTAAATCTGATGGCATGATATAACAAAGCCAAGATGCGCTGAGAATCTTCTTGGTCATGCCCTTCTTCAATCGCAAGACTGCTGGGACTGCGGGAAACTGGGCAATCTGGTGCACAAAGCGCTCCAGCTCATCAGAGATTGAGGTAGAAGGCAACTGCTGCGACACCCGTAGAGTTCGCAGCACCGATGGATCGGATGGTTCCAAGTCTGTGGCAGCAGTACCTGTGCGTCGTCGACGCAGCTTGCTCACTTTGCCCTCCTCCGCCTCCTCATCACTCTTGTCACCGTCCTCTGTGGTCTTCTTGTCTGCAGCTGCTGCTGCTGCTGCTGCCTTCTCTTCTTTCTCACGTTTTTTCTTTTCATCTCTAGCAGCTGCCTTTGCTAGTCTGACTTTCTTTTTTTCCTCGTCCTTCTGAACCTTGTCCTCTGCTTTCTTCTTGGCCCGTTCTTCTTCAGCATAAGCTTTCGCCAGTGCTGCAGCTCCTGTCCTCCATGATTCAGATTCTTGTTCAACACATTTGATTATGCGTTGAAGCACAGACAACGCTGTGCGTTGCTGATCCATCAGCTCTATCACACGAGCAGAACTGGGCTGGATGTCCAATAGCTTCTCTCTGATCCATTTGATTTTTCCGAAGCACTGTGCTCCTTCAGCATCTGCCAACAAGTTCATCTGTAGCTCTTTGAGGTATGGATCCTCTAAACATCGTTTCAGAAGATCTTTGCTAGCAGAGTCACCATCCTTGCCCGTGGACAAGTCCATGGCACATCGCAACAGGTCAAGGCGCCGTCGAAGGAGTTCAAGACTCGCGTCACTGTCGACCGCCTCCTGGATGCAAGGGACTAGCTATGGGTGTTGCATGGTGTTGCTTGGGTGTCATTAGGCAGCTTGGGTATCCTCAAAGGATATCGATAAAGGTCGGTCGGTGAGTCTGAGTTGGGTATTGGGCTATTGGGTATCTAATCTAGTTAGTGCACTAAGTTGTTTTCCAAGACCATCACCTCATCACATGCACCCATCATCCCTGAACATTGGTCCTGGTCGCCAGAGTGAACCTTCAATGCCACATTCTGCAAGACATTCTCTCCAGCTTCAAGGGCCTTTTTCATGCCCAGTTCGGCATTCTTAAAGTCCTTCATGGTCTTTGAGCGCTGCCTCGAAGCTTCAACGGCAGGCTTGGTGGCAGCAGCTTGTCGACTTGAAGGATGCTGCGACTCAGGAACAATGTTCTTCGAGTTGCCTTTGGTGCCTTTGGGGCCTTGAGAAGAAGCTGGTCCACTAGCTCCTCTTCCGGCTGGTGCTGCCAGAGAAATGGAAGGAACAATTGACTCCTCTTCTTCAAGATCCTGAAACAACGACGCAGCTGTTTCCTTCTGCTGTTGCATTGTCCGCTCTGACGGGTTTTGTTGTTCATCGCATCTTTCGTGCAGGATCGAACGGTCCTGCAACAGTCAGAATACGTGATCGCCACTATACAGTTTGAATTTGGGTTTGAATAACTTAGCAGTCCTCAGTCCTCAGTCATATTAAGTCTTATTGAATAACGGGTTGAAACTGAGAACATGTCGATTGACTATTGACTGACTACTACTGCCGACTGCCGAATTGGAATTTTCACTGGTTGTTGATTGATTTGTCCTCGTAGCTGGCTGTTTTGGAGCCGTCGTCCATAGGTACCCAAATCCGCCAAACCTGACAGAGGCTGATAAGAAGAGTGACCACCGGTGACTGCACTTGTATGTGCTACTTCAGTTCTTCTCCTCAAAAGAGATCAGAAAATAACAAGTTTCTGAAAGTAACAAGAATTTCAGACCAAACTAACCCAATTTTAGTTGGATCAAGAAGTTGGTGAGTGGTGGACCAAATCAAACCTTGCCTTCCCAACATCTTTGCCATCACGACTCCTAGCGGATACTTGATCTTTCCTCACATCCTTCGAAGCAAATTGTTTGTTCCACAGTTGCTCTGCAGCAGGCTCGTCCAGCCCTCGGGCCAATGCTCGTGGGGCATGGCAATTGGTCTACAAGTCTATCTACAACTGTTCTATTTTCATTGGTCCCCTACTAACCCTATTCCTCTATGCCATCGGTAATAGCGCAAAACACTCAAAACACGTTACACACGAAATGAAATGGGAAAAATGAATTATGAACAACCACTTCTAAGTCAAGTCTGTTACATCAAAAAGACTGATTTTGTCAAGTCACTTTCATATGAAGGTGCATGATGCACATAGTAATCCACAAAGTCGGGCTTGGCGAGAGGTTTCATTCTCTGAAAGTTCTCTGTCCTCGTGCCTGCTTGATTCAATGACTTAATCCTGGCGAAGTCCCAGGTCTTTCGCTTGCGACCACGACCCTGTCCGGGACACCTAAGTGCTGAGCATAAGGACTCGGAATTTCCGAATGGGATCAGGATAAAGCAGCTTGGGGTGATGGGTCTGTCTGTGGAAAAATAAACGGTCGTCATCATGATCTGGTTCTCTCTGAGAGTGCCAAACATATAAAACAGGTAAGTAAATAAAGTTGACACTGGTTAAGTTTGAATGTTCAGTGCTGAGTGAAGTGTTGAGTTTTACTTTACATGGTGATTCCAAGTCCGAGTCTGGGTTTTGCCTCATCTTGGAGAATTCAGAATCAAATTTTGAATTGTAGCTTGTAGCTGTAGCTGTAGCTGATACAAAACCTGTTGCCCATTCCCCATTCGGATATCAACCGATGAGACACTCTTCCGAAAAATTCGCAAGATGTTCCAGAAATTCCTCTGGTCGATTCTTCTCCATGGTCTGCAATTCTACCATGAGTTCCTGAGCATTTCTGGCCTTGCTGGCCTGCTGAAACATAGCGTCACGACTAACTTGGTGACACCCACAAAGGTTCAAGAGCCTGAGTATGACAAGTCAAATGGGCAGTGGGTAGTGGATGGAAGTGGACATGAAGCATCACCACTTGAGCATGTCAGTCTTCAGTTGGACTTGAGACTTGAGTTGAACATAGTCGCATACAATTGATGTACCGTACCACCACATGCAAACTTGCGACCATGCTCTAGTGGCAAGACAAGAAACTTTGTCAGCGATGTCCGGAACACCATAGTCTTGCACTTTGGTACCTGACATTTGACCTTCAGGATATCCGCAGCGGTGCGTTCAGGACCGCCCAGCGGGGGTGGTTCGTCAACCACCACATCATCGATTCTTCCTTCTGGTGTTTTTACCAGCATCATACTATCATCCATGGTCAACACGACGGTCAAGTTTTTGCCCCCAAAAAACCGACCAGATGTTCAACTTTGGATGGAGCGAATGGTAGGCTGTGTAGGCACAAGTGAGCTCAAGCAAAATGCTCCAGTAGTCACAACATCAAAATTTGGAAAGGTCAGACAGGCCGGACAATACATAACACTTACAATACAACACCACCTTGTGTTGCAATAATGTTCCTGAAGTTCATATCATACAAGCCTTTGTTCCTGGAGATACGGAGTCAAGGACCATGAAGTTAGTAAAAATATATTGGTTTGATATTGTAACATTATACATTGACAGAATGACTAGCTGTCAGAGTGTCTACTGACACTGAGCGGCCTCAGCCTCAGCCAATCAACATGTTTCCCGGCGTTGAATCATGTCTTTGGTTGAGTCTCGGAGCCTGTCGTTGGCTGTCTCTGTACATCCTAATCCCAAGAGTCAAGGGCCACATGCCACATGCCGAAAAATATTTTCTGAACATGTCAATCATTGAAGATGTACGTACTTTGACAAAGTACATTGTGAGAGCATAGGGTAGAATCCTGACTCACCCATTGGCCGCTCAGACTCACCCACATCGTCTTTGACGAAGTATCACACAGCAAGGGGTTTGGCTTTCACTCGCATCCCGGTCAGCATCACTGCATGCAGGCTTCCTATGACACTGCAATGCATCGCCTGGAAGCAATCATCATGGTGTGGAGGACTGGTTCCGGCCTCTCAGAACAACTACCTATGTGACATTTGTGATAGAGTTAAGTAAAGTAAAGTAGAGTAATCCAGTTCATTCAGTTCAACCAATCTGTGAACTTATTCTTTAAAAGTTAGAAGAGTCAAAATTTAATGATTTTATTTCAGTAGTTAATGTTGTTTCTGTTCATCCTCAAATGTCAAGTAACATTTCCGGCCAAACGCTTCCTCACCGTAGGCGCAGGCTGGTAGGTGAAGATTGGAAACGGAGCCCGAGAACCAGGAATAGGCCACTGTGGCAACCCCATACAATGTAGATGTTCCTTAGTTTATTTCACAGCCAATGTGTTGTCTGAAGAAATGGTGCAACCCTACAGGCTTGTATCCTATGTCCCATGTCTTCTAATGATACCTTTGTCAGTGTTATCATGTTTATTAAGTGGGGTTGGGGCCGGCTGGAGGTGTCAATAATGTTTGGAGGATGCCACCCAATGTACCAAGCAACAATATCAAGGAGCCATCTCTCGCTCGGGTCAACATCGGTGGTGGCTCCGCTGACAGGAGCACGCAGCAACCACATGGTCCCTGCCTTCAAGAGGGCAGGCAACCATGCGCCCAGGATTGGTCTTTTCAAAGGGTTCTGGTCTAAATTACACACCATATCCAGAGTCGATCTGTGTCCCGGTCCTTAGCTGGTGCGTTGCAATGTTGCCACAGTAAAATCATGTGGAGGATGCTGATGACCTACGACGTCAAGTTTCAGGGTTTATAAACTAGTAGATGGTGTCAGTGTCAATCGAAAGAGATTGGAAATCGAGTCTCTCCCCTGCTGGCGCAGTTTGCCGATCATCTTCTTCACTTTCGGGGACTGCTTGTACAGATTCAGCCACACCTTTTTCGTACCTTGGCAAAAGGCGCAGGCGTTGCGCAATATGTAATACTGTCCATGGCGCATGGTACATCAATACATCAAGACAGCTAGCTATCACATCGAAACATGTGAATCACAACATTTTGCGCATATTGATTTTTTTCGTCATCCATTGTCATTCCAGGCATTTCACAGCACAGTGCACCTGGAAGCAAATCAGTAAAGGTCGAAGTCGAAGATTTACACTTCTTGTGCGCAATGCACGTTCTCTCTGAATCAACCAGTTCCTGTCATGACTGAAAATGATCCAGAGAGAGACTCATTAATTCTGATAAACCGAAAGTTGAATCTGACCGACCTGAAAAATTCTGGGTCTGATGATTGATGAACACGATGATAAACTTGTATTATAAAAAAGGATTCAAATTGTCTTCAACACAACCTGCCTGTGGCGCTGAGAACAATGCAGCGACTGACATACAGGGTTTCCGGAACAGGTGTCGAAGGTGTTCGATTCCATTGGGGAAGTCTACTGTCGCATCACGTGATAATAGGCTATAGCGTCTTGGCCTATGGCATGGCCAGCCAAAGAGGTGTTGACTTAGTGCCATGGATTTTTCAGGGCGATCTTCATGTGGTAACTCATGTACACTGTAACCAGGCAGGTACTCTGTCACAGTGTCCAGCGGGAAGCGAGGAGCACATTCGTGCCAAATGCAATCCTGCGAAGGCCAAAGTCAGCTCAGTAATTCTCAAATGGTTCAGTAGCTGCTCAATTGGTTCAAAAAATGATGTTGTGTTATTTTCTGTGTTGATGTCCTCTTCACAGTAGAATCTCTCTGCTACCCATATAGCAAGTGGTATCCCAGATGGCCCCATCAGACCCATTCCAAGACCTAGGTTTGTGTGGCACACAGTACACAAGCTGCGATTGTCATGTAAGTAGTAAGTATCAACATCAAGGCATGAACTTGGGCCTAGTGACCAATGTTTGAATGGTCTGTACACGTACTTCCTGCAACAGCGACGGTCAATCTCTTTCGTGTAGATGCGGTGTCAGCATCCCAAGCCATCTTGTGTCCAAGTGGTGTCAGAGACTCCTGTCAGAACCGGTTGCTATTCTGTGAAAAAGATTGTCTGATGGGCATTGATTTGATGAAACTGCAGTATGGTTCTGTTTTGAGAAGACTTGCAAAACAGACAACATATCAAATTGTCAAGTGTATAAAATGACGCTGGCTACAGCAAATTAACAGGTTCTCCTTCATATCAGATTCATGGCATTTTGCCACCATTCGAAATACTTCTGGTCCCTCCATGAGAACCTTCATGTACTTTGCAAAGGTTTGTTTACCATGTTCTTGCAGCAGTGCAGCTTCTTCAGCTTTATCACCGTCGGTCATATAGCCTTTAGCTGGCAGCGTTGGTTTAGATCTTGATTTTGAATGATGGGTTTGTGAACCTGCAATTACATTCAAAATTTCAAATGCCAGTTTTGCAACTTCATCAAACATACCCATGTCATGACTGCATGACTCATGACATATTAGGATGAAGTCAGGAAACATTTGGCTTGCTCATGCAGTCTCAGCGATTCCTCCCGGATACTGTTGAGCTTTGTCAAGACTTTCGGTTGCACACGGCTCTCCAAGGATCCAAAAATGCAATTCGGTCGAAATGCCTTTGCAAAGGCGTGGCTGGACACAAGGGCCCAAGGACAGCACAAGCAACATACTTAGATCATAGAGATCATAGATTTTATATAATTTCTTTGGAATTTGGAACTATACACTATACACTATACACTTGACATTATACATAGTGGCGCAATGTTACAATGTTCGCTCGAGTCAGTTCAAGTCAAGTCCAGAGTCCAGAGTCCAGAAAAAAAAAGGTTTTATGAAGTAGCCTTGTCCAGCGATGCCAAGACCTTTCTGCAGTTCTGGTCGGTGTCACTTGATGTGTTGACAATCACCTTTCCGTCTCCAGGGTTCAAGCCTTTTTCCGTCAGAATACCTTAGTCAAAATGCAACGTCCGATTCAAATTCTGTGGAGAATACTAGGCTGAACCGATGTGTCATTTGTTACCCAGTGGATGAACAACTCATCTATGACATCAGGTCTGAATTGAGATTTGGTACGTTTCAACTCATCATGTTGCAACCATAAAGAGATAGACCCGCAACCAGTCCCACTGTAGCAGTCATTGATGTAAATGTCATAGTCCATGACAGCCAGTGCATTGGCAGTGCACTGGTCCCCGACATCAGGATGGTTCAGCAAACAGCAGCAATTGTAATGTGGCCAAAGAAATAGACCATTGAGGTTTGACGGACCATCGGGCCATGATGTTGCATTGACCTCATCCATTGCCATGTGGAGTGAAGAGTGAGTGAAGAGTGATAGAATTATATAATTAGTTCATACTAATACTGTGTGCTCAATAGCTGGAAACAACAATCACAGACCACAGACTGACGTGACTAGACTTACTTGCAGAGATCAACTGTATGGTCATGGTCCCATGTTCTTAAGGGAATCGCCTGTTGCTGCAACATGTTCACCACTTCGAATCCTGCCCGTGGCTGGTTGTCAGCTTCGTACACGTCATCGACCTCCACTCCGGATTGGCATTTGAATTCCTGGTTTCTTGGCTGTGGGCAGTGAAGCGACTTGTGAAAACTGAAAAAGGTAACCAACCAATACCAATCATAATCATGACAGGAAATGAACATAAAAATTTCCATGGCTTCAGACCAGTATCATTAGAATGACATGATACGGAGTCTTCAGAATCAGACGCCACTGGACCAGAATTGCTTGAACTCGAGGAATCGGAACTTGACATGGTGTTCACAATCACTCAGCGGTGGGTTCGAATGAGCCAACTTGATGGCTATGAAATCGCACTTTGTCAAATTGATTCATGATTGATTGGCACCAAAAATGATCTTTGATGTTGTACCTGTGCCTGCATCTCTTGGTGTAACATCAAATGAGTGCTCTGATTGGATTTGCGCAGCAAGACTCGGTGGGACCCTACAAAGATATACTCAGTGATATTGAGTGTTATATCAATTCGTTGAATATGTGATGAAATATACATCTACAAAAAAACTTCAAAAAACAAACAATCCTAACACATCAAAAAAAAATTTTGAGCACCACAAAAAAAGAGAAAACTCTAAGGTTTTTGTTGTTGACACTCACCACGAAAAAGTGTGGTCACACAGCCTATGGCACCGCGAAGACCACACGCATTTTTTATTGGGCATTCTAAGATATTTTTTTGACACCCAACACATCCAAAAATCTTAGAGTTCCGGAAAAAAATGAACTCTAAGCTTTTGGCTTGACACCAACACACATCCAGAATTCTTAGAGTTCCGAAAAGAAAAGGAGCTCTAAGTTTCTTCTTAGAGTTCCGGAAAAAAAGGAACTCTAAGATTTTCTTGCCACCCAATACATCCAAAATTCTTGGAGTTCCGGAAAAAGAACTCTAAGGATTTTTTTTGACTAATGCACAAAAAAGCGAAATTCTTAATTGTCAAATTGTTTTTTTCAAAGTGACAGACACCCTTGGAATTCCAAAAAAAAAATCCAGGACAGATTTCAGACAGACCTTAAGAATTCCAGCAAAAATCTCTGAGTCCCAAAGTAAAACTTTAGAGTTCCAAAAAAAACCTTAGGGCTCCAAAAATTCCTTAGAGTTCCAAAAAAAAGGAACTCTAAGATTTTTTGCAAACCAAGCAGAAAAGTTACGTCACTTTTTTTTCAAGAAACTGATTTGGAGTTACTTGGAAAAAAAAGTGACGTAGATTTGCAATTTCACGTCACTTTTTTTTTCAAGTAACTGTTTTTGAGTTACTTGGAAAAAAAATAACGTAACTTTTGTGGTGGGTTTGAAAAAATCCTTAGAGTTCCTTTTTTTTTGGAACTCTAAGGATTTTTTGGAGTCCTAGGGTTTTTTTGAAAACTTTAAAGTTTTGTGTGCACTCTGAGATTTGGGGAAATGTCAAACCACTTTTGTTTAGGAATTTCTGCTGTTCTTCAACAATTCAACTGGAGTTCATCATTCTAAATTTGTTTTCAAAAAAAATCAAACCCAAGACCAAAGACAAAAACACAAAAGTGGTACTCGCCTGTCCTTGGTTGAAAACCTCGATATCCATAATTCTTAGAGTTCCGAAAAAACTCTAAGGTTTTTTTTTTGAACACACAACACAACCAACACATCCAAAAATCTTAGAGTTCCGGAAAAAAAGGAACTCTAAGATTTTTTTGACACCCAACACATCCAAAATTCTTAGAGTTCCGAAAAAAAAGGAACTCTAAGGTTTTTTTTTTACCACACAACACAGCCAACACATCCAAAATTCTTAGAGTTCCGAAAAAAAAGGAACTCTAAGATGTTTTTTTGGCACCCAACACATCCAAAATTCTTAGAGTTCCGGAAAAAAAGGAACTCTAAGATTTTTTTTGACACCCAACACATCCAAAATTCTTAGAGTTCCGAAAAAAAAAGGAACTCTAAGGTTTTTTTTGAACACACAACACGGCCAACGCATCCAAAATTCTTAGAGTTCCGAAAAAAAGAGGAACTCTAAGATGTTTTTTTGGCACCCAACACATCCAAAATACTTAGAGTTCCGGAAAAAAAGGAACTCTAAGATTTTTTTGACACCCAACACATCCAAAATTCTTAGAGTTCGGAAAAAAAGAACTCTAAGGTATTTTTTTTGAACACACAACACAGCCAACACATCCAAAATTCTTAGAATTCCGGAAAAAAAGGAACTCTAAGATGTTTTTCTTGACACCCAACACATCCAAAAATCTTAGAGTTCCGGAAAAAAAGGAACTCTAATTTTTTTTTTGGCACCCAACACATCCAAAACTCTCAGAATTCCGGAAAAAACGAACAAAAAGTTTTCTTGAGTTGTATCCAACATCAAAAAAATGCAACTCAAGATCATTTTTCTGCTCAAAATTTCAAATTCTCAGAGTTTTGGAACCTTGGTTGATACCCAACACCTCCACATTCTTAGTTTCAAAGGAAAGGAGATCAAAGCTTTTCAAGTGGAATCCATCATTCGGAAATTGATTGAATAAAACTCTAAGGCACAAACGCAAACACTCCAAAAATAGGTTTCCGAAGAGGATAGACATGACAATTCATTGTTTTGAGAAGCAATTCTTTGTATCAATATTACTATATTTTTTGATATGGATAAATACATGTAGGGCCAGTGTATCCCATATTAGTATACATATATACAAATATATATAATATATATGTATATATATATATGTATATATATATATGTATATATATAATGTGAGATCCTTGTAGTAGAGTCTAATTTTCAGGTCCCTGAATGCAAAGCAGAGAAACTAGAAGATCATTGATTCAGAAATCAATGCCATGTGCTGTACACTGCGCACACGATGCGTTCTGTTTTCAGCCAAGTATCGTTGATGAACCGGGTTTGGCACTAGGAGCCAGTCCCAGTCAAGTCTCTTCCAGAGAACGGGTCGGGTCAAACTGTCCACAGTCAATCAAATGTTGCTGCCTAATGACATCCGACCTATGGAAACAGTCAGTTCTCTATTTGACAGAAATAAACAAATCCTAAGGAATCCTAATCTAAGAAAAGCGTGCCCGTTTGGCAGCCTTCCAGAACAACTCAATGTCATCCTTTGAACGAATGATTTGCCAGTCAATAGCAGGAATGGTATCAGTCATAATCCCACGGCGACCACGACCACCCTGCTGAGTCTGGTCTGTACTGGACTGGTTGGTAACTACAGCACCCACAGCCATAGCCCCAGCATGGATATCAGCCCTAGGCGTCAACAGTGTAGGCAGGAACGTGTCATGGGTGTCACGCCCCGGAACAGCCATTGTGTTGACATGTCCCCCTGGGTTGACATCATCAGACCCTGCAGTACCAGTCCCGGAGCGACCAGATGAAGCAGTCGGCATTGAACCATTCTCAGCATTCTCCACACTGACACGACCTTATGCGGTGCGGCAAACATGTTAGTGGACCAATCCCAATCCCAAAGAAAAAGGTACGACACTGGAGACCTATCTCAAATCGTAGATATCTGGAAATCTGAAGATGCCTGATGCCTGTTCTTTTTTGATGATTAGTCAATTCATGCTGTCCCATTTCAAAATCATTTAAAGTTCCGAAGTTCCCTGTACATATGACAGCCTGTGCTTCGAGGAACTACTGTCATTGGCGTCAACATGTGGTCCACGCGTGGGGTGGTCAAGGCTGGGATGGATGGGAGATTCATGATTACGGTTGTCCCAATACATCCCAGCACCACGTTGGAGAACTTGACGCACACCAGCCAGTCGCATCTCCATGATCAAATTAAGAACAAGTTGAAGCTAGTAGGTGACAGAGCGTTCTGGGCACAAATGGCTGTTTGCAAAACCAAGAGATTCTTCCCACAACTTTGAAAACTATGTTAGTGTTTTTTTCAGGACAAACCATTGACACCATTCAGCCTCCATCCCACCCCATGCACTGTGATTCTCATGATTTGACTTTGCACGAATAGATTTTGCAAATCATGTCACGTCAGTGTCATGAAGTCAGTTCAGGGTTCATCTCCATTAGTGTGCGCTTATTGTTTTTTCTTTTGCGCGCCATCCCATCCCATCTCGAGTTTCAGTGCACAGGTCTGAGGCTCCCTAGAAAAGTTGACATGATCTGCACATCAACATCACATCAGTCCCTTGGTGGCCAAGTGAAAGGTGAGCTGTTCCTCCAACTCTTCCCGTGAAGGAAGTTCGGATGGAATCACCTGGGCATGTTTCGGCCGGCAGTGGTAGTGGAGTAGTTTACTGAACACTGGGTTACCATTACAAGAAATAGCGAGTTGTATGCAATCAGGTCACCACATTGTGAACATGCCTGTGACGAATGTCCTCCAGTGTCTCCCCAGGTGCCTGTTGCATATCGAAACCTGGCCAGGTGACTGACTGGATGGTAACTATAATGTCATACAATCATCATACAAACAACACATAGAACATCAGTCAGTGATCGCAGCGCCATATAGATATGATATGTGGTAAACAGGTGTGTAATGTGTAGTGCCTTGGATAAGCCAATACATCAATGCTCTGATGTTGGCGTCATCGCTACCACCGCGACCAAACTGCTTGCTGCAACTGCGGGATTTTGTGCCATGAAGAGGACATTTGACGTAGAAAGATCTTGCCTAAGTGGAGTGATTGGCATTGGGATGATGTTGGCGGAAAAAAAAAGCATCACAACCCCACACAATATATCCATATGATGAAACTGCACATCAAAGCGATGAAAGAAAACATCCCAAACAAGTCACTGATTGGTCCAATCTTTCAATAAAACTGATGTTGCCAACCCAGACAGTCGAAAGATTCCACATTGAACCTCCGTGGGATTGTCTGATCCCTGGTACCACCTGTCTTCTGGGTTGTGCACGACCCCTGCCACCACCTGTTCTGCGGGCGGCGGCATGGGTGGAGGAGGCATTGGCACAGCTGGTCTGGCTGGGCCCGGCAAATTTTCTGGACTTGGTGGTGATGGGGCTGGGGGTACTGGAGTTCCCAAGTTCTCGTCGTCCGGGTTCATGTTCGTGTGTCCAAAATCATTGTCACTGTCACTGTCGCTGATCACAACTGCACCGTTGGACTGTGCATGGTTTGTCTCCCTTGGATTCCTTGGATAACTATCATGTGGTTGGTCATCCAAACCCCAGTCTCCATTGTCTCCATCCGAAAAGAAAAGTTCATTGTCACTCTCATTGTCATCATGAAACTCAAATTCATTGTCATCCGCTGCATCACCGTCACTGTTGGCGTCAAGCTCTTGATCCTGTACAGGCACACGGACTTCTGGTACTGGTTCAGGATTGTCAGGAACAGGATTGTCAGGTTCATTGACAGCTTCAGGTACATGCATACCTTCCCAGGGATTGGTTTACTGGGTACTAGGTGCCGCAGGTCATAGTCATACCCACACAACTATTAACATGCAATGAAATGCAAGGTTAAATTGGGTCCAAATGATCGAACACAAACAGTTGGGACACTTGCCAGGCCTAAGTCACCATCGAAGGGTGTCGAACGTTTCTTCCTTTTTCCACCCTTGGACTTGGAATCCTTGTGTTTTTGCAAAAGTAGTTGATAATAACTTCTTGGTTGCCACGGCAGAATGTTTGCGGCTGGTAGTGCGACTATGGCTTGATAGTAAATTTTCAGCTGGAAGTGAAAAATTTTGGTCAGTCCGGCACCAAACAGGCTGTCAGCTTGACAGAGCGCGTTCAAGTAGGCAGTGTTTATCCCACCTTTTTTGTTTTGGCGATGAAAAAACCACGTTTTGGCACCCTCTGGAGCATATGCAGGGGTTTTCTTGGACGGAGTTGCGTACTCAAAGTTCCAACCTTTTTTGGTGAGCTCAAGGATCAGACTGAAATCCCCACTCACCGTCATGGCACTTGAGTCCGGCACAAACTCTGAAAGCTTGGAAGACTGGCTGAATGATTGGGTCACCTGCAGTGCCTGCAAACCAAAGGTCGTAATATTGAAGGTGTCAATATCAGAGCCAGGTTTCTTCGCAACCTAGGCTGACACGTTCCACACTCTTTGGGTTTGGATTAGGTGCATCAAGCTTGTATCTGATTAGTCGACCATACGGTAGTACTACAGTAGTACAAGTATTTACAATCATCTTAACCATCAGTATCGACCACATTCAGCGGGTAGTTCTTCATACATTATGTGAATTGTGTGTTACTGTTATCTTTCAGATTATGGACAATCATAATTGTGTGTTCGTGATATGATTGAAGCATATTTGACGAGGAACCAATCGCTCATCAAGCAGGCTTTGCAGGGCATCATCATCAGGATTCACAAAGAATGAACTATGGTCCCAGAAGGCACCGGCAGTTGCAAAACGCAGAAAGAGCGCCATGGAATCTGGTGGCCTCGCGCAAGCATCACTACAACCCGTCACCCTCCCACAGAGTCTCCCACTCTCCCCTAGGATAACTAAATGATGATTAGTTGGTTTGACCAATCACTACTGGCTGTTTGACTGACTGGTGTCAAAAAAAGGCACTTACATTTTTTGGCAGTAAATAGTAATAAAGCAAATATGTTGATTTAGCTACGGTCAAGGTACAAGTCTGCATCCGTTCGATAGCCCGATTCAGAATCATACCAGACGTACAGGCGTCCGGCTAGGTCTTCAAATTTCATGTTTGAAAGCATGCAGGTGAAAGGAGCAGCCATGGACAAAGTTGTGGTAATGGAAGACGGTGAACCATCATCATTGAACTCTGCGTCAACGATTGAAACTGGCTTAGCCATAAAATCAAAACGGACTGGGTGTTCCCCTTGCAGAGAATGGTAGGCCATGTTTCCTTCCACTGGTTGAAAGTAGAAAAACTTTTTTCTCAACTTCTGGATTGGTTGTTCGTGGGCCAGGTCGGGTCGTACAACAGGCAAATCAATTGTCCTGTCGTCCTCCAGGGCCATGCTTGACAGCGAAGGTTGTTGGATACCTTAGGGATCTTAGGGATCAAGCAGAACAAATTGACAAGTGGACAAGGACTCGTCAAAAAAATGAAACATGAAAAATTACAAAGTACAAGTGTTACATACTATATCTTCATTTCATTGTTCATAACTCCGGACTAGGATGCTGCAACTCGGATATGCTGTTTGGAGAGGACACAGTCGATCACTGACAAGGTCCATGTCGATGGAAAAGATCAAGGATGAGTTGCTGTTACTCACCTACCAGGGGCATATTGTCAACCTATTTCCATAACTTTCATTTCCATTCCCAAAATTGACATCTTCCTACCTCCAGAAGATAGGCCACCAATGCCTTTGAGAGTGGTTCTGCTTCATCACGATCCTTCAATGCATCTTTGTTGGCCCTGAGTGATGCAACAGGTGGTTTCGTGGAGATTTCGTCTGCAAGCCTCTTGCGTCCCCCATGTTTTACTTTGATATTGTCTCTGTAGATCAGTTTTGCAACATCCGAGTCAGAAAATCCAGCCAACACCACGTTCAACGCCGGACTTGGTCGGAGGCCCATCAAGTGCCTCGTGGACAGCTGTCAGTAGGAGCTAAATGGTAGTAAAGTTTACTGTGTAGTGCAGTGAGTAAAGTAAAGGGGATAAATACTGTTTGTAGTTTGCATATAACTTAATATGAAAAGGTTTGTTCATATGATACAATGTGGTCTCAATACAAGGTGAAGAGCACACAAGCGAAGCGTCAAAAATGAAAGGTTTAACAGTTTCAATAGTTTATCATGTGCATGACGGTTGGTGAAGAACTGAGGTTTCTGCAACGCAGCATGTCTGAAACCTTGGCTGGTTTCCATCATGCGCATATTCTCCAAGATTTGCATCAGCGCCTGGTCAGCAAATTGGAAGGTTCACAGTTTCACAGCCTTTTAATTTTACACCCTGTCTCTGTGGCAAGAGATAAAACTTGAAGACTGGCACATTCCAGGTGTGAATCAAACAAGGAATAAGTATTTACTGGCCTTCGGTTGTGTTGAAGCCAATTGTCGAAGATGATGGAAGCGTAGCTCGCAACTGATGTATGCTAGAGAACACCTTGGAGCCTTCTTGGTGATCTTGTTGATCATCGCATGACGTCCTTCCACCGATCGTTCTGCAATGCGCACCTGAGTAACCCCAGTATACTAAGCCCGGGATCAATGACATGTGAGGGACAGGGCAGGGGATATAATATCAATAAAATAGTAGGTAGGTTTAGATAGAAATATCAAACTAAAACATTCATGTATAATCAATGAGTCAGGCCAGGCATATGTTTAGTCATACATTATGACAACACAGGCACTCGTTGTATAATGTCAAACTGGTGAACTAGTAACTGAGTCCTTGGCAAGTCTGAAGCCACTCAGTCGATGAAGGAGGTTGCGAACTTGCGGAGTGTTTTCATCTAGTAAGCTCTCCAATGTTGCAGACCCGTTTGCCAAACGAATGATCAATGGACGTAGTGGCACATCTTGCGTGTCTCCGGGAAATCCTTTGAAAGATTCATCACAAAAACGTCTTGACTGCATGTGCTGACTGCCAGGGCTATTTGGTGAGGAATCATACAATTGGATAGATCGCGCAGCCACCATTCGAACTTCCGCAGGGTCTGCATGTGCCAAGCCACCTGGTTTGGTGTGCAGTGATGAATGAAGTAGAGTCGAGACTCAAAATCTGCCACTATGACTATCATCGTCATGGTCATTACATCAAGTCTTGAAGTATCCTATATGGTGTGTATCACATATCATATCTGTCATATAACTCCTTGACCTTCACTGTGAAGAACATCCCTTTCCCTTCCGCCTTTCCTTACCTTTTCTTACTATACTTTCCTTAGTTATTTATTAGCAAAGGCAAACAAGCGAAATATGAAAGATTGAAAAACGAAAGATTAAGAAAACACTGTGTTCCCGACATAGGAGCCAGGGAAGTTGTCTCCAGTGTGCCATCTTCAGGTTCAGCTGTCCTTGGCAACGGGCAACAGGGCTGAGCTATTCAGTTTTTTGGGAAATTAAAAACAGACAAAGGTTAAACTTGGTTAAATGGCTAAACAGATCACACATATCATAGGGGTCAAATTAAACTAAACACATATTACTTGAGCACACAATCACCAAAAAAAATGATCTTGGTGAGTCACTGGATACTGAGTACTGAATGAATAGAAAGAAAAACATTGGGAATTGGGATTCTAGTGTTGCGAAGGTTCCCCACAAACGTGCAATTGCCTTTGAAAAGGTTCCTTGCAGCTCAACTCGTCTTTCAGGAGATGCGTTGCTGATGTTCTCGGTGAATTCTCGCACACGTTGGTCCAAACAGACTGACTGCATGGCCATTGCCCGTCCTGTTGCTAGGTCGGCTGCCCGACAGCACTTCAAAGGACATGTTGCTGCACCTGGCGGTTGTAGATTTTGCCTCTTTTTACGGGGCTGTTTTTGAGGCCTGGGTCTGATCGCATGCTCCGGACACGGGCAGCCCTCAGCCCACACCCCGAGTCGATCTGACTCCTGGGCGAGATGGGCAATCATAGCAATTGAATCCCAGGCATAGTTGGATTGCATCAGGTCATCGATATGCCCCACAGTGGCCCGAGAAGATTCCTCCAGCAGAAAAGGTTGTTTCTTTGATGATGTCTGTGAAGCTGCACTTGCAGACATGTATTGTTTCGTGTTCCAAGCGCTGCGCAGCATGTCTTGCAGTGGCAATACCTGAGAGAGCGCGTATATGCCAGTTATGTGGTGCATTTGATTTTCCGTTTTGAAAATATTATTTCGATTTCGACTTTGGGATTTCGGGTCATAGAGAAATTTGAACGGGATGATGCGACGTCAACTAATTACAAACTTGACTTAAAACCATCAAACTTGTACATGAAAATCAATATCAGAAGACAAGCTACAGCCTGACAGAAATCAGAAACCGCCTGCCATCTGAGACCACGTAAATGGTTCTCAGCCCAGAATTCAACCAAATCTTTTTGTGGATGGTCTGATAGGCAAGTGGAGACAAATCGCTCCCTCCATGTGACAGTACTCAATAAGGTATCCAGTGCCTGTAGGAGAGGAAGCAAGGGTTTCCACCTGAAGCTTGCTACAGGGCGTGGGCCGGCCCGGCCGGGTGAACCCAAAAAAACAAATTCAGATTATCATATTCAGACTAAAAACTGAAGAAAATAAGTTGTAAGTATAAGTGTAACTATGAATATAGTAATGTAATATATAAATATAAATATAAATATATATATATATATATGAAAGATAGCCAACATCACCCGGACGATTGCACAGTCATACTGAATCAACACCAAGTGCCCATCAACTACCGTTTTAAAACCTAGTATTGCCTGTAAACCATTGGGAAGATCTGAAACTTGAAGTAGGCGTCAACTGTTAATGTCAGTCATACTCAAAGGCAGATTGAAATGACTTGACTCGACTCGACAGTTGGCTAGCAAGGGACTGAGGAAGGCCTTGGAGTATGCTTCCCAACAGGTTGTCAGAAACGTGTTTTAGACCCGTCACAGGCATTGCATTGGGGAATAGACATAGAGCTCTGTTGCGGTCATCCAGTAGAGCCCGCTCAGGTTCTGGCATGAGCTCTTCCGACCTGCAAGACAGGTCGGCCGGGGCGTCAACAAACTTTTGAATATCAAGGTAACAGCAGTGACAGTTAACAAGTTAACTGTTAACAGTGTCACGGTCTTAAACAGTTACATAAATATTAAAGTATCAGACTATCAGTCTATCAGTAAATTAAACCGTTCAACTTGAACCTGTCAGTTGCAATTTACAACAAGACAAGAGTTGAAGCATGTTCGTAAGTGTGCATGTTGTTGGTCATTGCACTGGATGATGTAGTGTACCGGTTTTCCATGGTCCATGACTCCAGAACCCATAATAATCCGGCCTGCATGCAAGGGTGTTTGACATGGGGTTGTCATCATCAAGAGGGACCCTGTTCATGTTGAGGTACATGCTGCTGCGGTACTCACTCGCATCTGTAATGGCCCCTGCGATGGCACCATCATCCCCATCTTTCAAATCCATCACCACATCTTGGCACAGGTCAACCATGTTGATTTGCACAGCTTCTGCAAGCTTTGCCTCCGTACCTAGGACTGAGGGAAGAGTTCCTAACTAACAGAAAATTAAGTTTTTCCAAATTCATACCCATGATGAGCCCACAGTGTCGAGGCATGATGAATAAAGATTTTCTTTGATGCTGCAGGGGTACCCTGGTCACTCAAACAACACACCACTTGACGTCCATATGCAGCAATATCCCGTTGACGGTTTCCAATATCAACCTCCAACGACAGTGTCCAGAGCAATGCGTCGAGCTTGTTGACGAAACTGGTCACTCCTCATTTGGCAATGGCTGCCGGCTGCCCAAGATGAATTTAGTAATGACAATTGACAGTTGACAATGGCAAAATATCTCAAAAGTCTGGAGGTCTCATGTTCTGGAAGGAACACACACCAAGTCAAGGGTTATAAAAGTGTTGAGATTAATATGGGTTGATTACGCCGACTAAAATGAATAATGCTGATGATTTCTGATTGTTTCAACACATTTCAAATTCAATGATTCAATGACAATGGTTTGATTCTCTTGACCGCGATGTCAGAACGTGTCAGACTGGTTGGATGGAAAAAGTGTCATCTTTTAATCTTTTAGATTGAAAAACACCACATGGTGCATGGTGCCACACAAGGATCTAATCTTATCCCAATGAGAATGCATCTGTTGAGTAGTAATGTGTGGTTGGTGAAACGAAGTAACCAATCGTTGGTACTGAATAACTGGTACTGAATATACTTGGTTTAATTCTCGACCAGTAGACAAGCAGGGGCCTAAACCCAAAGGTGAGATACAAGAAGTAAGTATGGAGTCTTCAGACTGAAATTTGAAAATGGGATGGAGTTGGATGTTGTTGATAATGTTTTTTTGTTTTGGGGCCAAAACCTGACTAATTGGTAATTAGAATGGCATGTCCTGAAATTAAAGATAAGGATTTTAGAGTCTGCAAATCTTCAGTCAAGTGACCCTTACCCATGCTCACAGTGGGGAGTACACGAACATCAGTGGTCAATTCCTTCTCGGCTGATTGACCCAGAAGCTCACCCACAACATCCTCATCCTCCAATGCTCGAGCTTGGCTACGGACAGTTGAGCTCAGGTCTGAGATTGCACCACTGACCCTGCCGAGAAAGCTTATCGTGAGATGACTGCAGGGTGGTGACTGCAGGGTGGTAAGTGCAGGTGCAGTTCAATTTCTAGTCTCTAGTCTAGAACTAGGCTAGTACAAGTCTAAGTCTAAGTCTAAGTCTCTAAATTCCTAATAACATGAGACATGGCATCCATCATGAATCCAGAGGCCTTGTGGACCATTCTTCAACCACAAAAAGCTCTTTTGTCTGTGTGGTCGCATCATAACCTGAGTACGCCGCCAGAATCGCTGATTTCAAACAAAGATGAATAAGATGAACTACACACTGTGACTATGATTTTGACTCAAACTCTGACACTGACGCTGGCTTGTTCAGTTCATTTTCAAAAAATCAATCATTGCAAATTGCTAATCATCATTCATAACCTAATCATTTGTCACTGGCATGATGTCAATGTCAAGCAACACAACGCGATGTGGTGTTGGGTGAAGCCGTTTGTTTGCCCCCATTCCCACCGCCGAACATACATGCCCAAGATGTCGAGTTTGTACCGTGCACGGCTGAAGGTAGCTGGAGACGGTCCTTGTTTCACAGCCACCTGAGCCGCAGACGCAGGAGAAGCAGTTCAGTTGAGGTAGCAGGGGTAGAAGTAATCAGGAATCAAGATTCTAGATTCTAGGCCGGGGAGAGATCTTGTTCAATTCCTATGTTCAGTGAATGATTTGCTTTTCAAATTCACGCTGGGTGCTAATGCTAAGTTACTGGTTACTCTATTTGATCAGTTGATCAGCGTTCTGGTACTGCAAGTGTGTAGCACACAACGAAACTGCTCTGGGACACCAGGCTGACAGATCTTCCAAGTCCAATTGACCTGTGGCCAACTTGACAGCCGTGTTCATGGCCAAGTGGAATCGATCTGCAGCTCGTAGATGGATGCTCCTCATTGCATGGCAAGCCAGGTGACAACTATGGCATGAACCATGAACCGCAAAAGTAACAGACAGGTAAAGTATCAACATTCAATTCAATTCAATCTTAGTTTCAATGTTTTTGATATTTCTTGATGTCAATTGTTGTTGTGTTTTTTCATTGTTTGCTCTTGGTCTTGTTGTTTCTGTAGCTTAACTTTTTCAAAAAAGAATCGGTTGCTCAGTAGTAGGCGCAGTAGTCAAGTCAATGACAAAAAATGACAAAATGAAAAATGATGAAGTAACAAGCGATGACAAGCTTCAATGAAAACGTATGGTAAAGCTGCAGAAGACTGTACGCAGGGCGACCACCAGTCGATCGGTTGGGCACCAATGCGTTGACTCCAGTTTTTTTCGGTCGATACCCCTTCAACTCTATAACATGCATGGCCGCCTTCTTGAAAGCATCCACCTTCCCGGAAATTGGAATGCATGGCATGTACAGGGGGGGGTCCGATCTCTATGCAGAAAATTTGTGGATGAAGATGAGGTCAAACAAATCTGTCACCTGCAATACACCTGTTGAATTTTTCAAACATATGTCGTTGATATTTCACAGCTACCTTTGTGTATGCTGTACACCAACCGTATGCATATGGGACTCATGAGAAGTGAAAACCAACGACCGTTGCCTCATCTGGGGTTCCATGCTGCAAGATCGGTCTGGACACGTGCAGTAAAAGCTGGAAAATCTCGTCGGCGGTTGACCGGATATGGTCAAAGGCACTGGAGGCATCTTTCTCCGCCCAAACCATGGGAAATCACAAGGTTTCTTGGGTAACAGTAATGTATCAATGTACATTGTTTTTTTTCTTTGGTGCTTAGTCCTTAGTCGTGAGTCATTCATCTACTTGTTTCACTAATCAATTTATGTCATCCCTCTGATCAAGGTTATACAGTTATACCCCTGATTTGTGTCCATTGATGGGTCTCACTCCCAAGTTGTTGACTGGCCCCTTTGAACCGCACAGCTGACCTGATCATGGGCGATGGCACCGGGATGAAACGTTCAATAACCCAACATACCTCTTGATCTACATCTTCAAAATAAATTTCAGATTCATCAAGTTCAACTATATGTATCATGAAAACAATACCTCAAATTCTTAGGGCGCCATTTCCACCTGAACCCACCCAGACTTTTGAAATTTAACACTTTTTACTGCAGGAGATATCGTAGGCGCTGTGGGACATTGCTGTCTCTTAGGACCAGGTAAAACTCAACCCGTTGCCCGCTCACCTCGCCAACCACCACTTCTACTACCTTGTCGTGGTTCTGGGCAGCTTCCATCGCCTCATCGTGCAATTAATTGGCAACATGCGCATCAAATTCTCCTGTGTCATGTGTCGTTTATTTAGTGGGACTTGATTCTGACATGATCACAGAAATTCTTCCCGGCCTTGGCGTTGAAGTGCTTGCGAATCGCTGCTTCAATGCCCAGGGATCCTGTCGACGACAGAGACGTGTCCAAAGAGACCGGGGCTCAGGAAGGCCAATTGCACGAATGTTAGATTTTAGCGTAGAGAGCTTTCTGTGATTTTGATTACGCATGTGTGTTCCCATATCTCCGCCTGCCTCGAAACACGGTGTATGTGCTTCCGCTGAGCAAGTTGGTGGCGTAAATCAGCTTCTTGCAGTACCTGTGCATGCGAGGCGAAAAATATTCAATTGACTTCGGTTGGTTCAGAAAAAGCAGCCAAGGTCCTTACGCCCAGCGGATGCAAAGCAGGAAAGCGAAGAGTCGGAGCTTCAGTCCTAGCCTGAGGGGCGCGAGTCGACCGAAGAGGCCGCGAAGCTGCAAAGCGGATATATCTCAGGCTCGGACGCAGCGATGGTCATGAGCCTTGCATGATCGGACACTGACCACCAAATTATGCTTATTCAAGTGCGATTTTGTGTCTGCTTGCGTGCTCTTCACCCGAAGTTGACAGGACAAGGCCCCGGCTTTGAACGACCGAAAGCCGTGTGTGTGTGTGCGCGCGAAGAGACGACTTCGTGTCTTGAGACTTCAGAGGACGCGCTGCGGAGTCTAGTGTGTGATTTCTTTTTTTTACAAATGCAGTGATTGAACATGATGCGCAAATTCCGACTCTTCTCTTTTGGCTGACTGAAAATGAACCCATGGTCGTGTACTCTCGGTTGCTGAGGCCTTTTTCTGCTCCTGTTGCTTGTTAGTGGCTGTCGCATGGCAGCAGAAGCTCATGTGGCTTCGGAATGGCGCTCACATTACGGAAGAGTGGCGCCTCAATACAAACAAGCAAAAGAAAATGCAGAATTCCAGAACAACACTTTGATCCTGCTTGTGCATTGCAGTCAATTCTCTCTCTCTCTCTCTTTTCTCTCTTTCTCTCTTTTTCTTTTCTTCTGTGATCGGAGATGGGTCACAAAACATCTATACTGATATCGAGATGTCGAGGCATAAGCATAGGACCGTCCTGGCCAGGGATGAAGAGCAGTTCGAGGCTGGCAGAAGTGCGGGAAAGTCGTGACAGCGACGCCCTTTCATCATCTATGGATTCTATCCTGCTTCTTGTCCGCTTGCTTTGCTTCCTTTACGACGTTGCAACGGCAAGGACAATCAGCAGCGTTCACTACGCTGCTGATTGTCCTTGGCCCCGGAAGTCTTTGCTTCCGACGTGGCTGCTTTCAAAATGTACTGGCATCGCGAAAGTCAGAAGCTCGAGGATGTTTGCAGGCAGGCCAAGAAAATGCCAGAGCTCTTCTTCACTTCTAGAAGAGCTCTGGCATCTTCTTGGCCTCACATTGGCGCCCGCAGAATGGAAATTTCCCCTGCACCAGGGAGCACTGCCGCCGGCCGACCCGAAAGAATTGAGGAAGCAGCAGATCATCTTGACCGAACACATTCACAACGTTCTACAAGCACTCATTCGCAGATTGGTGACCGAAGACGGCGATGCACTAGCTGCCTGTGGAATCGCGAAGATCGAGCATTGAGTCATGCGCTTTGAGTTCCAGAAGAGAGGAACCATCCACGTCCACGGCACATGGACGTGAATCGCTCCCCTCTTCTGGAACTCAAACCGCATGACTCAATGCTCGATGTTCGCGACGCCCTTTCATCATCTATGGATTCTACCCTGCTTCTGGTGCGCTTGCTTTGCTTTGATTTTTTTTAAATTAACCTGCTTTGGTGCTGTGTTGTCCTTGCTAGCTTCATGCTGTATATGTTGAAGACGAAGTCTCTATTGATTCCGAAGAATGCATTGGTTCAAGGATCCTAAGTTTTTTCTGCCTTGTCGCTGACATATATCTGATGGGAAGTATAACTACTATATATAGCTGCTTCTTTCCTGGTCAAAAAGTCATGAATCTTTCAATAAGAAAAGGGTAATCCACTGATTTCCGACTTGCAGGAGCCAAAAGATAGAGCTGCGAGAATATATGTACATGTTCTGGTCAGGAATCTCTGAAACGGTCGAGTAAGCAAAGACCGACTGTGCAGACGCAGACGGCGCTTCCGAATTTCACGCTGCTGCTGTCTTTTTTCTCCGCTCAGACCTCCAGGTAGAAGCTCCACTCCCACGCCCAATGTTGGTGGGCTTCGTTGGCCCACCAACCATTGAGCGTGGCCGGGTCCGTGTAGCCTCAGCAAGCAGCACGGCTTGATTGTTTGCGGCAACAACAAGGGTCTGCAGTGTAGGACGGCTTAGGGATTTAGATCCGGACGGCACCAGCCAGCGGCGTCGAGCAGAGAAAGATCTCCGCCGAAGGCCTCAATCAGATTTGCATTTTTTCTTCGTGGCTTGCTTTTTCTTCTGTGCTTTTGGGGGCCTTTGATGAGGTGCTCATGGTGTCATGATAATATGGGAAGCCGTGTTCTTGCCTGGCACGTCTCAGCTGGTGCGTAGGACCAGCCGCCGCCCTGGAGAAATGCCCGCGGCGCGGGTGTCTTTGGCCCGGGCCCCCTTTTTTCTCAAGGTTGGGGTCTTGCCGGTGCCTCTGCCTCTGACGCGCAGCTGAGCGTCTCCGCCTCGCTGGCGGGGGCCTCGGCATTCAGGGTTTGCATCTCGATTTGCCATGGCTCACATGGTTAGGTCTATCTTTCTTTTTACGTTCGAACAACCGAACTTATACTTCCCTTTCCCATCAGAACAAAAAGAAAGATTGCGTCAATTGTTTCCCATTGCAATATGAAGAATTAAATGAATACGGCGGCCCGGACGTCCGTGCTGCTGCTGGTGTCTTCACCTGAAAATTTGCTTTGAGCAGCAGTGCGGGAAACACGTGATTCATGACGCAGCTTTTGGTTTGCTGAATCCTTCGCTGTTTGAATGTGAGATACATATATTCGGAGCAAACAAAGAACTCATCTCAGCTCATCTCCAATTAAGGCTCTGACTCAGCAGCCGCCTCACTTCCGATCGGGAAGTTGAGGTCCAGGGCGCAGCTGGGGCCTTTTTTGTTTGGCGGGGTGGTTTTCGAGGTTGGGGGAAAGAAAAGCGAGGCCGCGGCCTGAGCGCCGTGATTCTGAGGTTTCGGCAGAGGTACACCTCGTTGTCCCCGCGGTAGGTCGGGTGGTATCCTACCTGGGGAAACTCTTCTTGGCACTCCTGGGCGTCGTCTTCTTCATATGGATCAAACTACGGACGGTCAAGAAATCTATATGTTGAATTTGTCTATTTTTTTTTCGTATCTGGTTTTATGCTTGATGGCATGGCTAGCCGTTGTCCTCGCAGCGGCCAGAGAAAGCTTCCAGGCGAAAGACCTGGGCGCGAAATTGGTGTCTTCTTCTGTTCGTCTTTTCATGTCAATCCATTGTCCGTGTCTCGTCGGCTTGACTTTCGGATCTAAGCTTGCGCACGGCCATTTCTGGAGGCAGCCTCAGTCGGAGAGAGGCGTGCTTGCACGCATCCAGGTCCAGAGCCGGCTGTTTCGAACGAATGTTCTTTTTTTCTGTAGTCAAAGATTCAATGCAGCAGTCCGAGTATATATATATAATATATATACATACATATATGCTGCCAAGGATCGGGTTGGTCTTCAGGGCTCTGTCAGGTTCGCGGGGCTTTTGCGAGTTTGAGCCGGGCTGCGGCGATCGAGACACGTCGATGTTGTTTAATTTTCGGAACTGTTGACGGCCGACGTGTACCGCGTGCATGCTTCACTGCTCACAGGCCGTTGAGAGGTCTCTTTCTTTTTTTTTCAGCGGCCTGCGCGATGTGGTGCTGCTTCCGTCACCTTTGTGACCAGCAGGGATTTGTCGACCCGGGTCTGTGCATGGAAGTGGACCCGACCGCCGTGGCCGCGGTATGCATGCAGAAAATTTCGATTGATGGATTTACATTTGACCTGACGGACTCTTTTTTCCTCTATCATGGTCGTAGACACCACATTTTCACAGTATCGGGGGGCGGCTATTACCCCGAAACTAAAAAATGCGTTGACTAAATTCTAAATCATCCTCGTTGTTTTTGTCGTTTTCATTTGATGTGCATTAGCCCTTTGCCGGGGGGTCAGGTCCATTCGATCTTGGACCTGCCCCCCTCCGCCTGGGCACTTGTACCACGTCATGGACAGAAGGGGTTTATTGATCACCCAGGCGGGGGCTCTTCCCTTCGTCTAGTGGATACAAGCGGGGCTCCTTGGGTTTTGCCCTTCCCTGCGCCTTGCAGATTTTGTTCGTTCGATAGTTTTTGTTTCTTCAGATAGATAGATAGATAGATAGATAGATAGAGAGATAGAGAGATAGATGTGCATTGATGGCTCAAAGCGGTTTCAAAAGTGAATGCGTCAGTTTTTAGCTTCGCCAGAGGTCCTGCAGAATCAGGCTTTTTCTTTTTTGCATCGCGGCTCATGGTGCTGATTAATTAGTCAATTAATCTTGCGTGCTGGTCCAGGTTCGCGGTTGGTAGCTGTTTCTCTTTGAAAAGCGATTTGAGATTGAAGGTTAGCTAGGAGGTGCTAGAGATGCAAGAGAAAGATTCAACAGCAAAGAAAGGCGTTCTAAGATCCCATCAAGGTTTACTCTTTTCTTTTTTCCCCACCTGCCAGGTGAGGGTTGTTAGATTTTATCAGAGTTGTTCTCCTCCTCGGCTAGCTATCTTCCTCCTCCTCCGCTGCCTGCTTCTTCTACCATCTCAGCATCTGTTCACTTCCGCCTTGCCAACTCTTCGCCAACTTCCGAGCTCAGTGAGCTGCCGAGCTCAGTCAGCAGTGCTGGACCTGAACCTGCACCTTCCGAGCTCAGTGAGCACCGCTGGACCTCAACCTGGGACTTTCCGAGCTCAGTGAGCACCGCAGGGCCTCAACGGCCAGATAGAATGCCAGATAGAACGCCAGATAGAATGTCAGAAAGAATGCCAGAAGATATGCCAGATAAAGTGCCAGAATGTTTGCCCGATAGAATGCCAGAAGATATGCCAGATAGAATGCCAGAAGGTATATCAGATAATGTGCCAGAATGCTTGCCCGAACATATGCCAGAAGATTTACCAGATAGAATGCCAGATAGAATGCCATAAGATATGCCAGATAGAATGCCAGAAGATATGCCAGATAGAATGCCAGAAGGTATGCCAGCAACAAAACGTATGGATGTCATGGTGGGGGTAACTCGAAGTAAAGTTTTTTTTTGCGGCGCGCGATATGGTCGGCGAAAGATTCAAGTTTGGAAGGCTTCGAGATTTCGCGGTTTTTCTTTTTCTTTTGTTCCTTTTCCAAGCATGCAAAAAGGTCAAAAGGTAGAAAGCTTTCTTTTTTTCACCAAGCACTGTTCCTTCCGGATTGCCCCTTTGAAAAACTAATAGTTAATGATTACCAAGGGAGGCGCGCCTAGCTAAAAACAGAATAATATAAACGGCTACGCCAGGCAAGGTAATCATTATATAATTACATTATGTAATCATAATGTTACGTTTCATTCCAGTTAGATATCTTCTATGTTGGGTGGTTCTATTTTTGGGGCGTTATCTACGCTTTCGTTTGTCTTTTTGCTTTTTGACTGATTTTTTCCCCATGTATATTTTTTTGGGAGAAACGGCAGTGTGCTTATGTGCTCTTTGCGAAGACCCCTTTCGCTCCTCACCGTTTCTCCCTTACCGTATAAAAATCTATCTTTTGTATTCATAATGAATCTATATCTAGCATGTCTGCATCTGCCGCCCGTGGGGATGTGCCTTTGGAAACTTCCGCACCCGGAGCGCTTCGCTCCCCCCACGGACGGTCAGATGATAAAAACAAAACGACCTCTCATATCTACTGTATCTAGAATAGAAAGGATCACAAATTCGCCACTAACGACATAAATGGGGTTGAGACCCACTAACGAGATATAAACCCAAGTTTACTTATCAGAAACCCATAGTTGTGGCCGTGCATCAGTTACAACTACTTTTAACGTCATTTATGGAATGTATAATCATCCCATTTATTCCCAGTTATAACTGGTTATAAAAGGCCATAGCTTCATGGATTATGATCATCCCCAACATATCAAACGTTGAAATGATTTAAGGGGATTTCAAAAATCGGGATTCCCATAAATCATCAATTTTTATGGTATTTTGCACTATCAACCCCCGGGGATCCGCAGGGCCAGCCACACGCCCTGCTGTGGTTGCATCACTGCCCCAGCCGCAGCGTCAGCAATGGAGGCATGCGGGCCACAAGGCCTTGGAATGAACGTGGTAGTAAAAATCAAATTATTAATCTACAAGACATATGAATGTCGGGACATATTCTATTTAATTGGTAGATCCATGTTAGGATCATGATGGCTGGTGATGTTTGCAGCCGGAATCTTTCATTTAGTAGATGGGTTTCAATCAACGGTAGCCCTTTGAACATATCTTAGTACTTCTTTGTGGGGATTGGGTTGGTCATGAAATTATTACCACCCGAAAAATGTAACAAATTCTTGGGAATAATGGCATATTTCCAATCCATCCTAGCTAGAGATCATTTGGGGGTACCCCCATTTATGGAACTTCCCCCTGATTTTCCACCATAAACCAGCCAGCTATTGGGGTACCCTCCGTGACTTAACCTCGGGCCAGGCCCTAGCCCTAGCCCGGGCTGAGACTTCGGGCCCCAGATGCCCTTGACAGTCTTTGCAATGCAGGCCACGGGTTTTGCAAATCTTGCTACCTAAGGATGCCAGAAGCACTGGCATACTGCCGGATTCAGGCCAAACAAAGGACCTACCAGGGGTGGAGAAATTCGGGCAAAAATGGGGGTATCATTGTTTTTCCTTTATGAGCAGATAGATAAATCGGGTTGTATATGGCATGTCTGATTGGGGCATTTTACAGACATTCATTACTCACCCCCCTTACATCACCGTGGGCATCCAGTCATCCAGCTGGCCGCATGCGGAAGATAAAATTCGCCCTCTTATCAGAACAGTTTGTTGCAAGGGATGAACAACATCGATTTTCTCTTCGTGGGGTAAATCCCATACTCGCCAGAACATCGTCTTTTTTCCGCCGTCTTCTGCCGTTTGCGCCTCTCACCCCCCTCCCACCGGACGGCTTTGTGCTCGTCCGGTGGGAGGGGGGCCTGTACGGCGACTTCTGTGCTTGCCGCTGCCCTTCGTCCTTCGTTGGCCTGCGGCGGGGCGTTTTGGCAGGGCGACAAGGTCATTCAGTTCATTGATCGGAAATTTCCATCAGCCGGTATCATTAGAAGATGTTAATCCGCTCTCCCTCTCTTTCTATATCTTCATCATCTCTATATAGATCCGTGCATTTTATGAATTGGTCTTGCCAAGTATGAATTTCGAATGCGCAATCTCGAAGTTGCACGCCATTGCTTATAATTAAGTATAATGGTTTGAAATGTCGTTAGGTGGAAGATGGAAAGTTGCCTTTAGCGAATAGTTATTTTCCTATGCTGGTGGTCTTCCCGGGCCCCAGCTGTATCCCCGGCCTAGGCTTCTTCCTCTTCGTTCTCTTCCTCTTCGTTCTCTCTCAGACGGAAGAGCCGATTCCGAAGTTCGGCAACCAGCCGTGCCATCCTCCTTGGAAACGCCGCTGGCTGGTTGTGCCGGCGGACGTTGAGCCGGCAGCGGCGCGCGGCTGTGCGGAGAGCCCGCTTCAGCTGCCGCACCCTGAGGAGCTCGCGGGCAGTGCCCGTCACGATCTCCTTCGATGTGAATCAGACCAGGGCGGGTCCAATTTAAGGGGCCTAGAATTGTACAGATAGATAGGCATAGGTAGATCGTAGAGGCATACACACACATAAAAATATATAAAGATATATATATATATTTATCTATATATGTGTGTGTGTTGATATTTACATAAACAGTATATCTGATTACTGTAGAAGTTTAACGGGGGTGGGAGAATTAAACCCTTATTGAAGATCTTCAATGAATGTAGAAGTTTAACGGGGGTGGGAGTTTAAATTCCCTAATATCTTTGTTGATCTTCCCAATTGAATGTAGAAGTTAAAAAGGGGTGGGGCAAAACCCAGGCGTTGCGCGTATATATTTATATATATATATATATATATATGTATGTATATATGTATATATATATTGATCTACCATTTTTTTCAGAACATCTTCTGTCCAGTTTTGGGGCCGAAATGGACGTCGCCTTGGTTGACACACTTGGATCCATGGAGTTGATCCATGTCCAGATCATGAGGATATTCAAAATCCCCATATCATCGTTTCGACTGATACCAAATAATGGGATATCATATTATATTATGTATATATATATGTATATATCTATATATATGTATATATATATGTATATATATATATGTATATATATATGTATATATATATATGTATATATATATATATGAATATATATATATTATGATTCAATGGAATCAAATGAATCAATAATGGAATTTATACCAAATATCACCAACGATAAAATGATTCCAATGCCAAATTTTTGCTGATAAAAGATGAAAAATATCCCCATTTCATATCATCCGACTTTTTATTGGTAAGGATATCACTATTGCTGCTGCGTGACGGATCGTGGGTGACTTGCCCCTTGGACCCCTGAGACGGAGGCTTCCAGTACATCTTCTTGCCACCCTGCGGGTGACGGGGGCAAATGAGCATAGAAAAAAACAACAAGAATGGTGGATACACTGGAATTTATTTTTGATGAGATAGAATGAGATATCCATGATCATATATACCCTCTGGTTATTTAACATAGCCATGGAAAATCACCATTTGTAATAGGTAAACCATCTATAAATGGGCCATTTTCCATGGTGTGAAATAACCAGAGGGTAATACCATGGGATATGATTCATATGATATCTAATGGAGATATGCTGGGGAGATAACCAACAGACAGCTGGTTTGTGGTTTCAACATGTTTCAACCCCAAAAATTGCCCAATTACTGGTCGTTGGGGATCGTGATCTCAGTCAGGTCATTTTGGGATAGCCCCCACTCGTGTGCACGGTTTGACCGAAAGTGAATGGATACGAAAGTGTCATTCCTCGGGAAAAAAAACAAGCCATCAACCTACCGAGGATCGACGTCAAATCTGTGCTTTCCAAGATCTTATCACTTGTGACCAGGGAAGTTTGGGTAACACCATGATGGATCTAGTCATTAAGCTGGAAATGGCACTATTCATCCCTTTTTCCTAAGTCTAAAATACTTGGTAGTTGCAGATGCATTTGCCCCTTAACTTCGGTATCATATTTGTTGGCGAGTAGACTGACCCACCCCGTGGGTTTCAATCCCTCCCAAAATATCCAAAAATAAGCTGTCAAGTTTGGAAATTTAGGGTTCTGGAAACTTACGGATGAAACTATCGAGTCTTTTTCGCACCACCAGATACCTGACGGATCCTGACGGATTGGCCTGGTTCCTTTCCAGTCGATTCTCTGCAATCTCCGTCAGCAGCCAGCACTGCAGAGAGGCATCTGCCCAGTTGCTCAGCTCCTTTGCCAAGGAGCCATCATGGCTGCGTACGAAGACGATCCTAAGATGTCCACCCTTGGGATTGGGCCATGTTTCTGGGACGTGGGTCCAAAAATGGGGGATGCCCCACGGCCATATCCACAAAAATTGGTTTCTGGCTCAGGAAATTGATGGCACACATCTTAAAACCCATAGAAAATTTGGGGATGTCTGGGTTCTATTTCTGAGGGAAACCCATTTGTCAACCAAAACACAACGAGACGAGGAGCTCCTGAAAAACTGTACGAATGGTCACAGATCAAAAATGAGCTGGTCAACCGTAGTGCCAAACAGAATATGACACGTACCCACTCCATCCCATTGCGATTCTGTTCAGTTTCTGACATACTTGGGGACCCAAACATCCGGAGAATATCTAAAGTTCTCAGCAGCCCATCACATCTGGTTTTCATTTTCACCGCTCCCTCCCAGTCGCATCTCTCTCGCGGTTCGATGACGGGGGCGCTTCCCCTGCTTGATCCTTCTGTGGCAATGGGTTCAGGTCATCTAAATCATCTAAGTCATCCCTCACGGATGGCTGGCACAGAAATTTAAGGATCTGGAACACCAGGTCTATGCCTGGCTTCCACTTAGTTGGGACATCTCCAAGAAAGATTCCCATGATCTTCCCATGATCTTCCCATGATCTTCCCATCTTCCCAAGCACCGCCCAAGGACAGCCCAAGCATCTTCCCAGTGGTGACCTCATTCAAAACGCCTTTGAGCACCGCCCAGGTTCCCGCAAAGGCGCTTGGAGCGTCCACCATAATGCAGCGACCCAAACCTGACGCGCTTTGCGCCGTAAGTGGCCGAGCCGGGGAGTTTTATTGTGGTGGTCACCAAAATATGGTGATAATCTATATTAATAATGGTTAATCATGATTAACAATGATCCCACCATGAATGACTCACCATTATTAATCATGATTAACCATCTGGGGAAATTGAAATACTTCACTAACCTGAAATAACGCGATGTTGATGATATTGGGACATGTTTTTCTTACTAACCATGATTCCAGCGAGGTCGCAGTGAGGTCGTTATAACTTACCCAAAATATGAAGATCGTGGGGATATGTTTGGAGACCAAACTTGAGATGGTGTATTGGGTATCGTTTTATGAGATGTTGTGCAAAAAGTGAGATTTAAGCAACACAACTGGGGGTAGAATGGGGATAGAATGGAAAATCATGGGGTTATTGATGGAAGTCTCGAGCCAGCTTCATTTGATATTGACGTTTTTGTCTCGAAATGCTGATGTTTAGCTCCATTTGGTGCAAATTTAATAAGGAGTAGGATGTTATAAAATGTTCTAAAAACCCTTGGATTTGACGTACCCTATTTTCAGACAACCCCATATAGGGAAACACCATGAAAAAAAAAATGTCTTCAATGAAATATGTTGTGCTATCAAGTTCTTTGAGGTACCGATGGGAACGATGTTCTTCCTACTATGAAACCATACAATCTGCAATGGTTAGAACCTATCTTTTCGGATGACGGGTGGATATCGCGCACTAAAATGGGTTCTGCGGGAACCCCAACATTGGTCATTTTTTGTATTTATAACCACGCATTCTGGAGGGTACATGATTTCAGGCCGTTCAGTTGGGCATCGCTTAATACCTACAAATACCATACGTGCAGAAGGACATCCGCAACTACCAGCTATATACAGTGCCAACATGTTCCAACCAATGGATGTCCATCCCGTCAGAAACAACGATCCCAACGGGAACGTCATCAAGCCACAAGCCCAAAGCCATCAGGGGAAACGGGCCACAGTTGTCAGGGCGGTTCGATTCCCATGTCTTGTTGGTCGTCTCCCCGTTGTTTTTCGCATCTCCAGCACTCAATGAACGGGTTGATTCAGGGCAACATTTGGGTCAGTTCCCCCTGGTAGCCTTTCGGTTCGCCCCAAAATAGCTGGTGTTATGAAAGTTCATGCCCCAAAATTCATGGAAAATGGCAGGTTTTGACCGCCATACCATGATGGGTTGAGAACAGGATTCCGAGTTTTTAAGATGATGATACTCGCCGAATATCGCCAATTGTTGGCTAGTATCACTAAACATGGGGTAGATGGCAGCCACTGCTCCTCAACAACTTCCAAAATAGCCTGGTGAACCCTCAGTTTCCCTCCCTAAAACCAAAAACAAATGCAAATTTGGTTGATTATATGTGTGTGTATTATATATACACGTATATATATATATATACGTATATATATACGTATATAATTTTAAGATCTTGAAAAGCAACAATGTGGGTACAGCCTATGTTCAGATAAGTGGCCATTTCAATTTCGAAAATGATGATAAACTCTGATAAACCAACTGCCAGGCAACGCTCCGGATAATGCGCCAGTAGCTGGGCTGCCAGCAGTGCCGTGCGGGGGTTGGTATCCACCAGCCAGGAGTAGCCGTGGTAATCCACGATGAAGACCCAGCACCCAGGGTTTCCTGCGGTCCCCGTGTTTTTTTTTGTGATTTTGTGTCTCATAGATGATACCTGCCATAGATTAGCATATCGTAGTAGATCTGAGTATATCTATATCAAGAGCTATGTATACCCATATAATATATATATATATACTAAAATAGATAATGCAGTATATCATTTACATATATATATATATATATATATTTGTATATATATATATACATATAAGAAGTGTTGAGAGCCTGTATCCCCAACCCCTCAGGGGACGCCTTTCCCCGTTGAGGCTCGGGAGTGCATCACGGCAATGGAATCCTCCATGCTCCTCCCATGGCCCTATGGGCTGTGTTCAAAATTCCCAAAAATCCCATCTGGTTGGTGGTTTTAACCGTCTTGAAAAATATGAAAGTCGATGGGAAGGATTATCCCATATATTATGGAACATAAAACATCTTTGAAACCACCAACCAGCCATGTTCGGAAGTTTAAATTCTCATTCAATGTTTGGAAAGAAATAGATCTGGTTGGTTTTTGATGGACAAGAATCATAGATATAATTTTTGGGGAATTATGGGGATATAGTTTGATATCATTGCTGTATGGCTATAAGCCACACATGATTCATTGGTGGAAGTCCCTAGAAAAGTGGAAAATCCCCAGTGTGTTTTGCTGGGTGATAGTCCCAGCAGCCCAGCATTTAGGGAAAATGGTTGATCACCCACCAAACATGAGGAAATGCTCTATCATCACTAACCAAATTTAGGGAAGATCCTATGCGTTTACTGGATAAGATGAAGAATCCAACAAGCTAAAAAATGATGAAACCATCTGAAGAAATCACAACATACCAGAACAAATGGGAGTGTTTGGTTCCTGTTTCTTCCAGGAATGTGCCAAAACCAAACAGCACGGTCCGAAGCTGCATGTCGCATGTCGCTCCTTATCAGATGGTCCACGTTGTCCGTGGCATTCAAACGATTCAAGGCTTGGCTAAAGCACGTGTACAGCACCTGAGCTCTGCGGTTTTGTCTGGGGACATATTTGGGGACCTGTCTGAACATCTTGGGAAAAAAATATGGTTCATCGTAACATGTACCTATGATTTCATGGCTATAAATGGGGGGGTGTATACTAAGTCCAGCCGCACCCACTTTCTCAAGATATAGATTTTCGGACCTGGTTTGGGCGACTAAAGAGTCCTTCACCACGAAAAATGATATGCGGGGCGAGGACCAGGTTTTTCCACCCACACCCTTTTCGGCTGTGGCTCAAAAATTGTTTTTTTACAGAGTGACCCGCAGCATTTTTTGCGTTGAACCATGCAAGTTTGGATGTCAACAAGTGTCACCATGAACATTCATCACGTGGCCAAATTGGGATTCCTGAAATGCCCGGGTTGGAATTTTGATTCTTCAAGATCCGGAAGAGGTCATGAAATTTGACCAAAAGACTTAATAAAGCACCACATGAATATTCCCAACAAAGGAAAGCGTCCTCTTTTTTGTGGTTGTTTGGGTCAAAACCTAGTATACTAGTTATATTGTATCATATGAAAATCCATTGCCCCGTTTTTTTTGGTGTTTTCCAGGGTTTTGACCCACGGCCGTATCTCTTATTAGGTGACTTTAAGTGGCGTCCCAACAACTGGACCCATTGGCTGCTGCAAATTTGGGCCTCCCACTGGACGTTCCATACGGTCAATCCCTACCTGAGGCGACTCTTCCGCAGCGACTGTTCCGCAGAACTCTCTGAGAAAATGTCTGAAATTTGATGATACCCTCTGGTTAATAGTGGTTAATAGTGGTTAATGAAATTTGATAATTGTCTGGTTTAATTAACGAATTACTGGTCAATGGTCATAATGATATACCCTCTGGTTATGACTAACAGTTTGCCATGGTATAGATGTCCCATAGAAATAGATGGTTTACCGTTCTTAAAAATGGTGGATCTTTCCATGGCAAATTGTTAAATAACCAGAGGGTACCTGAAAATCTGATGGTTTGATGGAAGCTATCATCATTTTCCCCTTCGACATCCTGGAACTACGCAAGCAGATCAACTGAAAATTCAGCTCCGCTTCGTAATGAAAGCAGATTGGAAACGATATATGTACGATATATCATCATTTTCCCTCTTAAAATTGGCATGGAGTGTATACCCCATTTTCAGACACACCCAAAGATACCCAAAATTTCGCTTACAAAATTCAAATTAAGGCAATTTTTCCGGGCACATTTTTGGGTATCCACTGGTCCCACGATTCCCTTTCAACCAACGGTCCCGGCACCATGAGGGCATTGAATCGTAAAATGGACCACGTCAGTAACATTTTTTAAGTGTCCCAACTATAGATATATCATGATAGATCTAGTATAAACCATAGTTCTCACCAGGATCAATATATCAACAAGATAGTTGCCCAATTAGTTACCCAATCATTCATGGTTCACTTTCTTCAATGGATTGGTTGAAGGGAAAATCTTAAACGGAAACCCATGGGAATTTTCCAATGAAAAAAATGGGGTTTGCTGGTTTCAATTTTCCCTTGAACCAATCCATTGATTTCTGGTTTCTCGTGGATCGAAAATCCCCAGGGTCAACCGCCACAAAAACACCAGCCGCAGATTGTGGCTCCGTGGATCTCGCGCACAGGCACCGCAGAGCTGCCGCTGCGGCTGCGTTTGGCGCCGCCACCTGGGGCAATGTTCAATATGTTCAATATCTTCTATAGTTTTATACGTTCATTTGTTTTAATTATAAATACATATACATATATACATATATACATATTTACATATTTACATATATACATATATACATATATACATATTTACATATTTACATATGTACATAAATACATTTATTATACAAATATACATATATATACATATATACGTATATACATATTTACATATTTACATATGTACATAAATACATTTATTATACAAATATACATATATATACATATATACGTATATACACATTTACATATATACACATATACACATATACACATATACATACATACATACATATACATACATACACATACATACACATACATACACATACATACACATACATACACATACATACACACATACATACACATACATACACACATACATACACACATACATACACACATACATACAGACATACATACACACATACATACACACATACATACATACATACATACTTACATTACATTACATTACATTACATTACATACATACATACATACATACACACATACATACACACATGCATACATACATACATACATACATACATACATTACATATATACATATGTATATATATATATTCAATATACATATATACATATATACATATTTACATATTTACATATTTACATATTTACATTTATACACATATATTTAAATATACGTATATAATATATACATACATGTTCCATGGTCAAAACGTGGTGTGATATGATCCAAGTTGTGGAGCCATTTTTTATGGGTTTGTCTGAAATCGGGTAGCCCGAGCTCCCCTGGTTAGTCTTCATTTTCGAATTTAAATCAGATGCTTTCGTATCCCCGCATCTCTGGGCACACTGATATGGAATGGAATGGAATCTAAAAATTGGCATGTTAACAATGTTGTAGCAATCAGCACAGCTTTGCAGCAGAGATGTTCCTCAGTTCCAGAGTTCCGTTCCTGTGTTCGGCGGTTGGCAACCTTTGACCTTTGACGATGCACCACTCCCACAACAAGAGATTTAAACTCAACAAGCACTGCCGTTGGGAATTTGTATAATATGCTGCAGATGTTGGATGTGTTGATTGGCATGTTCCTAAGAATTCGCTGTTAATGTCATGAATGTTACTAATGTATATTAACGTTAGTAATATACCATGCAAATGTTTGTAATTTACCTCATCTGCAATGGTTACATTAGGTACATTCAGCAATTTCTTGACGCCATTCTGGATGTGATCTCGGACCAGGCAGGGGCAATGCAAACTCCAGAAAATTGGATGCCCTCCAGTAATCAAGCGTGGCAATGGAAAATCCCTCCATTTACAGATAATCTTGCCATTCAAACCTCCAGGGCCATAGGATGCCATAGCTGTGATTCGTTGCTTCGAAGCAACGGGAAACGCCTTTAGCGCAACGTCCCAGGTCAGCAGGTGCTTCAACCCAAATCCCATCCCTCCAACATTAAAGATCCCCATTCTATGGCACCAAATATATGATTTCATCCTCCTGTAGCCATATTCATACCTCATCGCTCTGTATATTATATATATATATATTAAAAAAAAACGTTTGTGTCGTTTTTGCAACTTCGAGTCTTAGTTTTCATGAGCTATTTACATGTTCATACCCCCAAAGTTTTGTAACAGGTATATAAATCGCTCATTCCCCAGAGCTGATCCTAGGCACTTCAGAGTAGCTGCCAAGGCTTTCGCAGCAGCTTTTGGGTCGTTGACATACGCTCGCAAATAGCCTCAGACGTCCAATGCCAATGGATCCACAATTTACAAGTCATTTTCATCCCTACCCCGAATATGAAACACCTCGGGAAATAGGATTAATGTTGCTTGCTTCCTTCCAGGACTCACCATCGGTGAAAATGTGGCACTGGTAGGCCTGGGCCCAATAGATTTTTTATCTAAAAGATGTAAGATAAAAAAAAAAAATCGACTATGGTTTGATGCACGCAGAGCGTAATATATGTTGTGACTTTTTGTTTGCTTCGGAAAAAGAAACAACCGCAGGCCTGGACGCCGTCGAGCCCAAGGTGCTCCTCCGCACCGTCGACCCCGGCAGCATACCGGAGTTTCGCGGTGGACTTTCGGAGGAGCAGCTGCCATTGGTTGTCCACAGACGCTACACAATACAGTAGTTGTGCATGTCGTTACACAAGCTAGGTGGCTCGCCATGCAAGAAAAAAACGGTTGAAGTTGACTGGCCTCGTCCACAAGCAAGAGGCCCTTTCCGAGGACGCGCATCCCGGTGCCCGTCTCTGTGAGGAGACATCTCCTTGCACCTAGATTACTTACGTGTACATATATATATATATATATATATACACACATCCCAACTGCGCACGACGGCACCCAGGGACTGTCACTGCAGTGCCCAGCTACGGCCCCCACTTAAGGGGTTGCCGTCCAGGGCCACTGCAAGCAGGTACGTTTACACGGGTCCCGGGGTGGTGTCTTCGTTGGCCACCGGCGCCCCCGGGACCCCGGTGGCCCCCTGCTTGATTTCGGAAAATACCAAGGTAGAAGTTTTACATCTATTCAGATGTTCCACACACACGCCCCGCTGCCGCGGGGCATTTAAGGCCCCGACGAATGAGATGAAGGTGAAAAAGAGAGAAATGGAAATGAAATGACGATGAAGATGAAATGACAATTACTTAACCGGAACACAAGAGGGGGAACTCAAAAAGGAAAAGGGAAGGAGAAAACACCAACACCAACACACCTAGCCTGAAACGGGCAAACCCTGAAAGGGCAAGGGAAAGAAAAAGCGGACGGACGACGGGCCAAAAACCAACCAGAGGAGGGGGGGGCGGACAGAAGCGCCTGACACAACCTACAAGGCGAGAGCCAAAACCTACCTCGGCACGCGAAGGACCCAAACCTGACCTAGAAAGGGAGCACCCATGAGATAGGGGACCAATGGGGACCTAGTTGATGAAAATTGATGCATCCACATTGTCATGCAGCGTCCCCTTGTTAGGCTCAATGTCCAGAGTTCAGATCAACCCTATAGACAGCTGAAGTAGTCAACCCCTGAATTACGTGCACAATTGAACCTCACCAGAGAAACCACAAGAAAGTGACCACACCTGAAAAGCATGTCCTGAAGCCTCCGCATGGTTCCATGTCATGATGCTTCTTGTCGAGCTCCGTACTCTCTTGGGCAAAGGTGGAAAAAGAATTGTTGTCGTGGCTTCCAGCTATGCATATCAGCGGCATAGAAAAGGCGATGCCAGGCACAGCGGCACGCTGTTCAACATTCACTCGACCGACGTGTGAAACACTGAAAAATGGCCAGCGGTTCACTTTACTTAGATGAATTACCAAGTCAAAAGTGTAAATTCAGAGGTCGTTTCAACGTGTCAATTTTTAGCCTGGCAAGGCTTTCCCCGAGGGGTTCATGCCACCTTGACGAATCCAGCATGAATCACACACTTGCTCAGAAATATCTTATCGAATTACTGATGTGGAATGCATCGAACGTGCAAAAACACTTCAATTAAACCTGACAGGAGGGAATTGATGATACGATCTGAGAAATATCAAAAAGTAATCCCTGTTTGGCCTCAGCTAGAAGCAACTGTTCCATCTGACGTAGTCGGCAGAAGTTCAGATTGCGAAAGCCGTGCAAACGAGGAAAATGAAAACAAATTGTTTTGAAACGGCGTGGTGGTTCTTGGGTTAGCCACATCCCATATCCGAAAATGCGAAGGAAGTCCTTCAATGTCCTTGCACCTAGATTACTTACGTGTATATAATATATATATATGTATATTGTGACATCCCATCTGCGCACGACGGCACCCAGGGACTGTCACTGCAGTGCCCAGCTACGGCCCCCACTTAAGGGGTTGCCGTCCAGGGCCACTGCAAGCAGGTACGTTTACACGGGTCCCGGGGTGGTGTCTTCGTTGGCCACCGGCGCCCCCGGGACCCCGGTGGCCCCCTGCTTGATTTCGGAAAATACCAAGGTAGAAGTTTTACATCTATTCAGATGTTCCACACACACACACACACACTCTAGACAAGAAATGGATCATTGAAGTGATCCGTTGGGAACTGATTCCCCTCACATGCAATTGGATTAGAAACAATGACCTAAGGTAGATCTCTTCGATGTAAATTGCGAATAAGATGAAAGTTTTCCGAAGGCGTCGTTCGTAGACAAAACCAGATTCCAAAAGGCCACATAGATGCCAAACAAATAAAATAATCTGTCCGGTTCTTGGCTTAGCCGGTCGCCATACACACGCATTGGTTGCAAAAATAATGAATAGTTTTCCGGTTCTTGGCTTAGCCGGTCGCCATACACACGCATAGATTGCAAAAATAATGAGTAGTTTACCGGTTCTTGGCTTAGCCGGTCGCAACTAACGCAAAACTGATTTGACGAAAATGCAGGCACGTCTGGATGGCCAATCCAGATATCCCACTCTGTGACCTAGCTTTGTTGAACTGGGTCAGTCACAGAGTGCCCAGTTCCCCTGCGATAATTCAAGACCCTAAAAGAGAAGTTTTACATCTATACTATACAGATCACACACACACACCCACGCACGCACGCACGCACACACACAAACATTTAAAGAGGAAAGAGACGTCTTAGATTTAGGCCTTAAATATAACTACTATGTCAAGGCATTGGAGAAAATCGCCTGCTCAGACAGGCCGCAAAAGAAGTCCTAGAACTTACGACTTGCCGCCGAAGGACACAGCCCTGTCCCTCCTGCCGGGCGGCGCACGGTCCACATATGACAAACACTGTTTGCAAGGAATTGGGCAAGGACATGAAACTAAGAAGGTTTTCCAAGCGCCTCATCACAGCGGTGAGGACCTTGTAGCCGACCCGCTTACGGACAAAGTCCTTTCCCCCGGCCCTCGCGGCGGGCGGGCCGGCACCACAGGGCTTTGAGGAAGGCCTTGTCCACTGTGATGCTGGCCAACCTTGGATAGCAACGACCTGGCTGCTTATTCATCTTGAAGAGGGTGCTCTGAGCACCGCACGGGGCAGCAGCAGTGTTGCCGTTCTCGGCGTGGGCCTTCCTGTTGCGTTCCTCGGCAGCAGGAGGAAGAAGAAGAAGAAGAAACATCGTGTATAAGGAGGGGTTTGGAGGTACTCGGCTGATATCGGAACGCCGCCTGAGTGACGAATGCGATGAGCAGGACGTACATGCAGCGGGGGCTGGGCAGGACAAACACAAACGCGCTCGGGCCCGCGCATTTCCCTCCACCGTCCACTAGCCAGGGAGGGCGGCCGGTTGGCTTTTCTGCTCAAGCCTTGAACTTGACAAGCAAGGCAAAGAGAAACGCAGCGCACGCCTTGGCGCGCGCGGCGGTTCATGAACCGCCGCTCTGTGCCGCGATCCTGAGGCAAATTTGCGGCGCGGCGACGTCATGCAAGGCAGACATAATATTAAGAGTTACCATAATTGACCATCAATAATATGACCTCTGGGCTGGGGACAATGACAAGGTTCGAGCAGACGAAGACCGGAGCAGGTGCTGCGCCACTCTTCGCCTTAAAATGGCTTGTGAATGCTTGCGATGCAAATGCATGTGCTTAAGGCAGAAAAGAAGAAACAGAAGTACAATCCAAGGCAGAGACCGACGGCGGCTTGGGAGGGCTGGCAGCACCCTCAAGGCAAAAGATTTGACATTCAAAGAAACACAAGGCTAAGGAAGCAAGCGGGGAAGGAAGGAAGGAAGCAAGCAATCGAGCAAGTCGGCAAGCAAGCACGCGAGCGAGGGAGCAATCGAGCAAGTCCGCAAGCAAGCCAGCAGGCAAAGCAAGCAAGCAAGCAAACGAGCAAGCAAGCAAAGCAAAGCAAAGCAAAGCAAAAGCAAAGCAAAGCAAAGCAAGCAAGCAAGCAAAGCAAAGCAAAGCAAAGCAAAGCAAGGAAGGAAGGAAGCAAGCAAGAAAGAAAGAAAGCAGGCAAGCAAGAAAGCGGGTATTCCAGCAAACGAACAAGCCAGCAAGCAAGCAGAAAAGCGGACAATATTCTTTGGACGCGGCCCATCTGTCCACCTGCTCCTTGAATTGCGTGCAAACACGGTTATCAGTTTCGCGCGCTTTTTTTTCTTCGCTTGAGCCAAAATAGTATGTAGGGTGAAGAATTTGATCTGAAAAACTAAACACAAAAAAATACGGCACCGCAGAGGTGAAAGTCACGACATCAGCCGCAAACCCTGAAAATAAAATCGAAAGGAACATATTTATAGGTAGGCAGCCAATTCTTACTAGCTACATGGATGGAAAGATGGATGTGATGTGTCCAAAGATATGTAGATGGAAGAATGAGACAGAGAGATGGATGGGTAGAAGGAAAGTTAGATGCACAGATGAGACATTGGGATGGACGAATGGATGGACGGAGACAAGACGAATGGATGAATGGATGAATGGATGGATGGCGATTCACAGACAGAGGATGGGCGAGCCGGTGAATGAATGGGTGGAGACAATGAGATCGGTGGATGGATGGATGGATGGATGGATGGATGGATGGATGGAGACAATGGGATTGGTGACTGGATGGATGGATGGATGGATGGACGGATGGATGGATGGATGGGTGGTGTCGGAATGATATTCAGACGGACAGATGGATAGACGGATGGAAGCAGACAGGGAGAGAGATAAACGGATGGATGTGTGGATGGAGACAGGAAAATTCGCTACTTTGCAGACCTTTGTTTGATCATCCCCTTCAAAACCAATCTATACAACATGTTATAACATGGGAGTATGTGGGGTTATAACAAGAGGTTATCATGGTTATCACTGCTCTCATCTAAATGAATGATATTGAATGATCATGGCATGTCTTTTCTCCCGTGCGGGGCAGGCAGGAAGCAAGGTAGAGTTCCAGTTTCTTCTGCCTGGAAAGATCAAACATGTCTTACCAGTTTTGTATAGATTACTGTTTTCTTCCCAAGATTTAAAGAAGAGGGCTGGAATGTTCACACTGCGATTTGGCGGACCTTGTGGTGTAAAGACATCATCAATTGAAAACGAGCACCATGAACTCATCCGTTCCTCCCTGAAATTGAAATCATCCCAGCACCCCAATACTAAACACACCCCCCATTCTATGGTCCCAAATATGTGATTTCATCCCCCATTGACCCACCGAGCATCGTCTGACAGTGGCATCATCAGCCAATTGCTGATCTGCCTGCGGCAACAACACTTGGAGAATCATCGACTTAAACAATCTGGGCGCCATAGTCCGTTTTGGCGAGATTCCATATATATATACACATATATATACATATATATATATATATATGCATATGGATATATACATATATGTATATATATATACATATATTGGCCAGGATACCTACATTGTCTGTACATGAACATAGATAGATGCATAGACAATGTTAGATTATTTTAGATTGTATCAGATTAGATTGGATTAGATTAGATTAGATAGGATAGATAGATAGATAGATAGATAGAATAATATTAGATTAGATTAGAATAGATTAGCTTAGATTTAGATTAGATTGGGTTTAGCTTTGATTTAGATTAGATTAGATTCCATAGATTAGATTCCATAGATTAGATTTGGATTAGATGATTAGATTAAATTAGATAGATAGATAGATGGATGGATAGATAGATGGATGGATGGATAGATACATAGATCGATAGATAGGTGGATAGATATACAAGTGCAAGATAGTGTAAGTATCGTTTAAAAAGAAAGGAACGCCAAAACCAACCAATGGGACCTGACCCTCTGGGCATGGAAAGTGCATCCCCAACAAGCTGGCCCCAGTCTCCTGGCTCAAGTGACGCAAGACCGCCAGCACGTCGCAACGATCATCCGACGCTTCCATCGTCAGCTCCAAAATTCCATGGTTTCTGTGACTGTCTCTGCTTGGTGATGTCAGCTTGTCCCCAGAGATTAGCCAACTAGGATTGCTTTCCCTAGAAGCCTTAAAGAGATGGAAGATTGAAACCAAAAAACTGCTAAGGTGGCTGGATCGGGAATTTCCCCTGGAAATGCATCAGGCCTATTGGTGTCTCTTCTGACTGTCAAAAGGATTCTTCCAGCACCAGCAGTCTCCAAGCAATCGCCACACCAGTGGTTATCAAACAAAAGATGATGTTCTCGTGATCAACCTGGCAATGGAACATGTGCCCTTCATAGACCATGAGGTGGTACCCCAAATGGATGGTTTATAGTGGAAAAACAAAAAAATGCTTAAGGCTTAATTATTTGGGGTACCCCAACGACTTAGGAAACCTTCATCTTTTCCTCTTTGTCTGTCTCTGTGGTTTGTTCATGTCAACGGGAAGTCTTCCGGGCGTTGGCAGCGCCCAGCCTTGTTCTTGGGGATCCCTTAGTGCGCCTGTCGTGTGACCCAGGCAGAAAGACTTTGGTCAAAGATTCTTGTTTGAATTGCACAGGTGAGAAAACCCCATTGGAAGGGGCAGGAAGAGATTCCATCACAGCACGCATCGCTGTTTTCTTGCCGCAGCTGAGTTCCAGAGTCGTGCAACTCACTCTTCAGCTCAGCTAGGAGGGCAAAAGACACTTGCCAACAGAGTCCTGGCAGTGATCCACCCAGGGAATCCACCCACGTCCCGGTGCTGCAGGTTTGAGGTTCCTGATCTGGACACGGGAAGTACCCATGTAGGTTTTGTCCAATAATCCCCAAATCAAAAGGAATTTCGGACTTTCATTTTTCCATTGAAAACTCTTTGATGATTGGAAAATTTGGGATCCCCCTATTTTTTCCATGTGCCTGTTGGAAAATCTAGGGTAACGGTACATCAGTCCATGGGTTTCCCATCAAATTCGAAGGGTGGTCTGAAATCGCCCAGACCCCCATATAGACCCCCTTTAACAATAGCTTCCCCCTTCCGTGCCATGATTGACATTGGATAAATATAGAATGATTATAAAGCTAATGGCTAACGATAGCCATAGAAATAGTTCACTTGGAAAATCTCCCGTAAATGAATCTAAATACCATGAAGCATTAAGGCTCAATGTTCCAGTCTCATGCTCAAGTACCACAGGATAGCCTGCAACCATCCCTTTCCTACCCATCCCAGCCTCGCTCGCAGGCCTTAATGGCCAAGTCATAGAGCGTCACATCCGGCTGCACTTCTGCCAGAAGCTGCAGCACCTGCTGCCACAGCCCCTGCTGTTCACAGGCCTGTGCCGGGCAGGGTATCAGTTGATCCTCAAAGATGGGATGGAAGAATGAAAATGTTTTCCATGGGGTAGAAGCACAAATGAGGAAAAATATATTAAACAACAAGCTCAAAGACATCTGAAGCCGGGAAAATAAGAAAGTGAGTTCCCCTCTAGACTCTGGGACTTCTCTTTCCAGCAAAGTTCAAGGAAAAAAACCTGCTGCAAAGCATGAACGAGTTGCAGCCGCCACAGCAGTGTAGGTCATCAGATTCGGAAAATCATTCGGCATCGATTGCAGCTGCGCCAAGAGGAAAACGGCTTTTTGCCACTGGCTGGCACATCCGAAGGCATCAATAGCCGCCGTGTATGACACCACCCCGGTGCGCAGGGATAACTGCTGCATCTCTGCAAATAGCCACAAGGCTGATTCCCATTGACGTGCCTGGGTGCATGCTCCCATAACGGTGGTGTAGATGAAACCATCCTTTAAGTCATTCGATAAAGCATTGAAAATCTGCAGTGCACTTTGCCACTGTCCACCTTTCTCGCATGCGAGGATGGTGGTTCCGTAGGTCACTGCATCAGCCAATGAGTTGCCGAAAGCCTCCTCTAGCAACACCAGAGAAATTTGCCATTGCGAATTAACCTGGTTCCGGTCATGTCAGAGAATGGAAAATTCCAAATTTGGGTGCGGAAAACCCAATCTGTAAAGACATACAAAACAGGGGGGAAAGACCCATCTATAAAATTGGGGACCCATCTGTAGGTGGAAATACAAAAGGGATTTGTCATAACCATGTTAATTGTCCAAAAGATATTTAACTTGAAGATGCCACCGCTATGTACGGTCTCGACCCACAGTTGGTTTTCAATTATTTTCCCACAGACACATAGCCCTCGTGTGGTTCTTATGCACCTTTTCTGCCAACCGAGTCTCACTTTTGAGGTGGGTTACAACCACTTGACCTTTTCAGCCTCCAGCACCAGATTTTGGTGTTTCGTTTCCTATTCCTGTTTTTCACCCAAGCGGCCGCACATGAATTCAACGCAGAGTTATAAGTGATGACATCTGCAGAGAGCCTTTCGGTTCCCAACTGTGACATCAGTTCCAGGGCCGCAGGCCACATGTCGACCACCCCACAGGCGCGAATGGCGGTGCTGTAGCTCTGGGCATCCGGCGCCACGCTGGACTTCTGCATAGCCAAGAACCTGAGTCTTTTCATGCATTCATGCTGGCATTTTTCTGGCATCTATTCTGACATTCTTCCTGGCATTCTGTCTGACATTCTCTCTGAGTCTAGCGGAGGTCCGGCAGTGCCCACTGAGATCTGGAGCTCGCGGGGCACCCGCATCACTTAGGGCGCCCCCAGACGCATCGCACCCCCTGAAATCGCACACTCCTCACACTTTGGACGCTCACTTTGGGCACCCAATGACGCATCACTTTGGGCACCCATGCAATGCCATTAAGGCGTTTTTGGGGAGGTGGGGAGGGATCATTCTACTTAATTCTACTTACATCATTGCTGGAATCAGCCATTTAGGGTTTGGTTCGGGTGGAGGGATCCTTCTGACATAGCTACTTGAATCAGCCATTTAGGGTTTGTTTGGGGGGTGGGGAGGGATCATTCTACTTACATAATTGCTGGAACAGCCATTTAGGGTTTGGGTGGGTGGGTGGGGAGGGATCATTCTACTTACATAATTACTGGACCTCGGTGGTGGTGTGTGTGTGTGAAAACGTCCTTTCGCTCTTGGCACATAGACATATATGCTACGCTATGAGATCTTCTCTTGCACTTGCACACCGACATGATGCCCTGCTTTGAGATCAGCTCCTGCACTTGCACACCGACATGATGCTACGCGATCAGATCTCTGTTGTTGTTGATGTGGCTGATGGTGATGATAATCATGGCGATGATGATGATGATGATGGTGATGATGGTGATGATGGTGATGGTGATGGTGATGGTGATGATGATGATGGTGGTGGTGATGATCATGATGATGATGATCATGACAGCCATGATGATGAAAACCTTGATGATGATAATGATCACTGTGATCATGGTAATGATGTTGATGAAGGTGAAGGTGAAGACGAAGATGAGAATAAAAATGAAGATGAAGATGAAGATGAGATGAGGATGAAGATGAAGATGAAGATGAAGATGAAGATGAACACGAAGATGAAGATGAAGATGACGATGACGATGGTCATGATGACAATAGGGATGATGTTGCAAATGATTGCCACCACGCTGCTGATAATGATGATGGTGCTGACGATGAAACATATGTTGTTGATAATGATGATGATGATGATGATCATGATCATGATCATGATCATGGTGATGGTGATGGTGATGATGATGATGATGGTGATGATGATGATGACGATGATGATGAAATATGTCACGTGTGTTGTTGATGGTGATGATGATCATGACGATGATGATGATGATGATGATGATCCTACTAGGTGGCAGCGTGATGTAACGAGATTTAGTTACTATAGACGTAGGAAAAGTGCTAGTTACAGCAGGCGCCCGAAGCGATGCACGAGTGGGCGCCCGAAGCGAGAGCCTTGCCGCTCGCGGTTGAGGCCCGGCAGTGCCCACTGAGATCTGGAGCTCGCGGTTGAGGTCCCGCAATGCCCGCTGCGATATGGAGCTCGCAGTTGAGGAAGGACGGGGAGGAGGAGGAGGAGGAGGACGACGAGGACGAGAAGGAGGAGGAGGAGGAGGAGAAAGTAACTCTGATAAAATCTAGAGGCCCTCACCTGGCAGGGGGGGAAAACCAATTAAACCGCAAACGCCATCAATTGCACCAATTTGGCGCCAGCCAAAGAAACAAGCCGATTGCTCTCGGCCACTCCGAAGCCTTTTCACAAACGCTGATGAGGGTGCTATACGCGGTCCTCGGATGAGGATTCAGAAAGAGAGTTGAACCAATAGCTGGTCATGTACCATCCATCTTGGAGTCCAATGATTCTGATCCACACCAATCTGATTCAAACCATGACCATACCAGGAGGATTTACACATGCCATGGTCAGGTTGCATGGGATAGATGGTTGATCTCTCAAGGCTCACTACCCCTCCGGGGCAGCATTGGGCAGTGATATCTACGTTCGTCCCTTGAGACGGTCTTTGGCACTTGCAAATATGGGACGGAACCAGTCCTGATTTGATATATTCTATACCTCCATCAGTGTCGGTTCTAGCTACATCCGCTCCCTCAATGGATATTCGCAGCAATAAACAATCCCCACTATAGTCAATTCTTGGGTAAAAACCCTGGGATGCTTCGACAAATGATCTTCATGGCTACGACATTGCCAGGTTTTTTAAAATGGTGGGTTTCCAAGTCACCATGGGTTTCAATACCAAAACGGTCATCCATGACTTGGATGCCCAGTGTCACATCCAACGGCTGCGCTTCCTCTTCCGTCACCAGCAGGGCCTGTTGCCACTTGGCACTTCGGCCCAACGCAGACATCACCGTGGTGGCCACGGTGTCCAACACCACGCGCAAACCTTGGAACTCCTCCAGCAAGGTCAGGGCGTAAGTCCTGGGGCAGCAACTTGGGGAAGAGTCATAGCATTTCACAAAGGCTGAAGCAAGATTGAAACATATATATATATAAATACATATAGACTATAAACATCTATAAACCAATTTTGGAAAGGGTTACCCCTACTAGCCATCGTTGCTTCGGCCAAGTTAAGTTGTCTTCACGCAGCAAGCGCGGTCCCACAATAGCAAGTGAAACCCTGGAGATCGTGAGAAAATCATCTACAGATATCTGTAGACAAGTTGAAAGCCCAGAAATTATGGGGCAAATTGTAAAGGTTATCTAGTTACATCTAGTTTCCGCCCTGGATAATGTGTATGTTTTCAACATCTTTGTGTGGTGCTTCTTGTTTACACTCACGCTGTCTAGCAACCACTGAAGGCTGCTTCCACACGTATTGATGGCCGCGCTCATCGATGTCGAGCTGGGAGAAATCTTCCGGTCACCCATGCGACGGAGGAGCGCCAGACTTCTCCGCCAGTAACGGGCTAAGGAGAACGCATGGAGCATGGCATCATAGGTGAACCTTTGGAGAATCCAGGTACTGGCCACAATGAGGATGCTCCATTCTGATTATGGGAATGTACCAAATTTTAGATGTTGGTTCCCACCTCGCCATAACATGCGGTACTGGAGGTTCAAGATATGTTTAGGGAACGGGATGTGACCATTTAAAGTAGGGATGTTCATCAGAAATCACGGCAGAGATTTTAAGACCACGAATTTTTGGGGAGATTCCGAGCAAAAATGGGGGAGATTCCCACCAGGAATGGTTTTATGAAAGTGGATGCCAATCAAAAATGACAATTGGTGAACTGGGAATCTTGGTGGTTTGGGTTGTGTTGGGAATCTTGGGCACATCTATGAATCACACAGCACAGATCGCCAGTGAACCATCCAGCTCCTCCCATGTTTGAGCGATTCAGCATCACAAACAAAAATGTGCTGTTTTTTTTGTTCCAGAAGCTCATTCGCTCTCAGGCTTCCCCGAAATCTCGGCCACAGCAAGAGAGTCTCCTGCCAGTTCCCGATGCGATTGAAAGCATCCATGGCAGCGGAAAGGGTCACCACCGTCGCCTCCAGGTCCCGATCATCGATCTGGCGGAGCAGATCGTGAACCCTGCTGCCTTGCAGGGCCTTGCCACAGGCTGTAATGGCACAGTTGTAGCCTGGTTTTTTTTGCAAAACGCCAAAAAGGATCCGACTCAAATGGCTGTTTGAGCCAGTCCAAAACAACATTTGAAACTATTGAGCCGTGAAAAACCCAACCAAAAATGCTGTTCACATCTTAAAAAAACACATCTGAAACTCATTTCGGCAGGTCGCTGATGATATCTGGCTTCACCCCATAGCAGTGAAGCTCTTCCAAGAGCTGCAGCACCTGTCGCCACGCCTTGGCTCTGCCACAGGCATTCAGGGCCACGTTACACAGCACCGTGTCAGGCTCGGCGTCAGCCAACAGGCGGAGGACCTGGAACGTGACGGTTTTAGTTGGTTAGCCCAGATATATGGGATACATTGGGATACCATAAATTTTGTCCTCAGAGATTCGGAACTATAATTTACCCATAGTAGTTGCTTCGAACTCATCACACGTAGGATATATACTAAAAAATGCAGGGTTTCCTAACCATCCTTCTGAAACATTTACCTACACAGGACTATAGGAAGTGTAAGTGGTTGCGACTCCCTACATGCAAGAGGAGTTTATTCCACATGTGTATGATATACGCTGTACACTGATAATATATACTGATTACATGTGTATATATATATATATACATATCATTATGTAACGTATATTATATATATATAATGTGCATAGACAACCATGGATTTTAAACGAGGGAAATCCAATAATCAAGCTGCCAAACCTGGACAGCGAAATGCCCCGCCTGCTCCCAGTGGCCCAGCTCTTCGCAGAGTTTCATCGCATCTGTGTAGGCCGCCCTGCTCCGGAAGCGCTGAGCCAGCTGCAAAGCAGCCTGCCAGTGTGAGCCCTCAATGCAAGCCGCGAGCGCCACCTCCGGGTTTGGTGGATTGGTTTTCAGGCTCAACATTTCAACGAGAGAAACATCTCTGAATGGCGTAGAATGGCCTTTCCTTAGCCCAAGTCCTTTATGGGTTTGTCCAAAAAATTGATATCATCACAATAAAGCTGCCATTTTCGGGTATGTACCCCATTTTCGGACAACACCCAGCCAAAAAAAAAAAACTTCCGCTTTCCACCTATCCCCATGATTTCTTCAATTTTTGCCTGAGCCATCAAGAAAACACCTCCCCTGTTGGTTCATAATCCCCAATCAGCTAGATAAATAAGATTTACCCAGCCCAAGAAAGGAAACCCAGACCAGCTATATTGCTATATCATACCATAATCATCAACACCAGCTAGATTCTATACATTAAAACAAATAACATATATATATATATACCAATATATAGACAGATGTAAATCTCAAGGTTCACCGGTTCACCCCACAAATCCCCCGATTTCTTCATGGCACCTGGTGCATCTGTTCCTCTCCGCGCTGCGCGCAGTGCATCCTTTCCAGGGCTTCCAGGGCCTCGCTCCAGCGTGACTGCCGCGCTAAGGCGCCCAGCACCGAGGACAGGGCGATGGCCGACACCTGGGCTCGGCACCAGGGACGCCAAGGGGGAACAGCTGGAGGTATACCTATATATTCCCCATTGGTTACCTATATATATATATAAACAGATTGTTGAAATGTTGATGGTTTATCAATATATTCCCCATGAGTCAGCCATAAATGGGGCATACACATCCTTATGAAACATAGCCAGATGGAGGTTTCCTAAGTCATGGGGTACCCCTAAATCATCTATTTTAGATTGGGAATTTCCATTGTAAACCAACCATTTTGGATATTTTGGGGATCCCCCATTTCGGAAACCCCCAGCCCCAACACAAAGGGCAAACCAAAAATATGGGAAAGGACGACCTAAAAGGATGGGAAAAGGTTCGAAGAACGATTCTAAACACCATTGGATTTGCGGGTTGAAGCAAATCAAGCTTTGTTATGGGGAGAATTTGGATTTTCAACGCTCCATTGGTTTTAGATGGTTTTAGGGGCTACACTATTTTTGAGAAAACCCATTTGAATACTTGAATGATTCGCCAAGCTTCCCTGAAAGTCGTGGACAAGTTGGGGTGTTCCCTTTTTGGGCGGTTAAACAAACCATGTTTTACTCACGTTGTTGACAGTCAAACTCTTCCCCCTCATACCCGCTCACAAACCTGGTTCAACCATAACACCTGTGAATCTCATCATTTCGGGGGCCCATATGAGGGCGATGGTGACTAGGAATGGGAAACTTTAAAAAAAACGAAGTGTCATAAAATGATAGGATTCGGGATTCGTCTCGAATGCTTCGGCTTGGAGAATGTGGCGTGCAAATGTTTCTGGTTTGGGCCAAGTCGAACCTGGCTAGAAACGCCACCCTCTGAAAAAAAAATGAATTATTGGAGGATCCTCGTTACATTTTTGGATATGGAAACAGGAACATGTATGATTGCAACCACTAGGCAGTCAACAGGGTTCTGTATTTGATTCCGTTGGTGTGATTTTTTCAATTGGAGACCATTGACATCTTGAGAAAAAAAGTTGGTGATGCCACACAACAGGGACATCGCACCTGCAAGGCCTTCATCTGCAGATCCTCAAAGAGTTGTAGCACTTGCTGCCATTCACCGGCTTTGTGGCACCCATTCATGGCCGCACCAAAAGTGATGATGTTTGCACGCAGCCCACCTGAGTGTCCATTCGAATGAATCCCGATGGGGAATTTCCCAGCGGGGGTTCCAACCATAATTCCCATGAAAACCATTGACCTAAGCCCCTAAGCCCATTATCCACCACCAACAAATGCACCATCTTCATTTTTCCTGGAAAAAAAAAACTCATCATCATCATCATCATCATCATCATCATCATCATCATCATCATCATCATCCTCCCCACCTGGCAAATTGCTCAGAATCTGCAAGCCTTCCTGCCATTTCCAGGCCTTGCCACAGGCGTTGATCAGCGCATTGTACGACACCACGTCGCCGCGCAGCGCCTTCCCCGGCAGCTCCGCGAAGAGATGAAGCGCCACAGGCCATGCGGAGGCGCTGGACGCGCAGGCGATGCCGGAGTTCAGCAGCTGGAGGTCTTCCTGTGGGATGAATTTTCTCGTCCTTGGTGTAATTAGTCATGGTTATATATTTCTGAGTTATTTCTATGTCAATGGCAAGTATCATCAGTCTTACCATCATCATGATGATGATGATGATGTTGATGATGATGATGATGATTTTTCTTATCATTATCATTATGACTGTTTGAAACCCCAATGGACGTTGTTCTCAAGCATCAAAGTTTAGGTCAAAAAACGGGGTTTTTCACGGTCCGATGTTCGGTGAAGTGCATGTGCCCTGGGCGAAGGACTCAGAAGCTAGCTACGACTGGAACTGTCCCTTTAGTTTGCCTGTTTCGGGGGTTTTATGTGAATCATCATTGTCCTTTAGGGAAAAAATTGTTGGGCTAGTTTGGTATACCGGTATGCCATGTATCATCATGTATGCTATCATCTACCATCACTTATCTGTATAGATATGTATATATATATTATTGGTTATTTGGGGGTGACCCCCCTATCAATAAACCAACCAGTGTCGCCCCGTCCTCGATACCTTCTGCCGCCGCCTGGCTGAGTAGGCCCAGGGCTTGCGTCCACCGTTCTTGTGCCACGGTGTTCAGGGCCATACCTCCGCAGATAGACTCACTTTCTGATTCGTTAGCCAGACTCCTGACAATATGTATACGTGTGTCTATATGCTTTTATTTATTTATGTATATGTGTATCTATATGTATGTTCTCAATATGTATATATATATGCATGCATTTGTATATATATATATATGTACATATAAGTATATATGTAAATATATATATATATGTGTAAATACATATGTAAATATAAATATATGTATTTATATTTGTATTTACATGTGTATATACATGTAAAACTAAATGTGTAAATGTATATATATATATATATGTATGTACATGTATTTTCATGTATATGTGTATATGTAAAAAAAAAAAAAAACTGTCAATATCTATGTATACTGATGTAAATGTATAAATATATAATATATACACATGTATGTATACGTATGTGCATATGTGCGTATATGTATATACTTATATGTATATATACGTATATATACCACTCGTGTCCGTCGGAATTTGGCTTAAAGCCGGAATATATGAATTAACAGGCGATCGCTATTTCGACATTCTACAGCTTTACATCAGAGTAAATTCTACTCTCATCAGTGTGTGTGTGTGTGTGCGTAGTTGGGATCGCAATCCCATGTTCAGGGATGCAAAACGATGGTATTGGAAGACCATTGACCACTTTTTTACGGTATCAAATTATATATCCAGATTCTCAAGGGGATGGACCGAAGATGCAACAAACAATTGATGTTTAAACCCAAACCATCCTGAAAGCAAAAAAATCCAGCAAGCAAGACTTCAGAATGAGATGAAACATGTTGAAATCCTGGCAGTTTCCGGCAGCGTCTTGTAATCTAACCTGGCTGGCTGGAAAATCCACTTCTAGATGATCTACAGATATCTACAGTATGCTGATTTACTGACTTGTTTCATGTTTTTTCATTACCAGGTAGGTGAAATTAACAGAGGGAAACCACCTGGTTTGAAGCCGGTTGCTGAACGTAATAACGTTCCTTTCCAGAGATCTGGTCTTCATTTCTTCGAAGAGCGCTAAGGATTGCTGCCATGCTTTGCAGCTACTACAGGTCTTCATTGCTGCTGCAAAGGAGAGAGTATCCTGATTGGCGCTGTAAGGGAGCATACCCCGTGCTGGTACATCCTGGTACCCAGGATGAAACATGATTAAAACAGCTGGGAATGGGCATTCATCCCTGCCAAAAAAGGTGTCCCACATTGGCCCATCCCATTGACTGTATCCGTCTAGTCACTTGGTGGTCGTCTTCACAAGGGATGCTGGTGGAAACTTCATAACGGTCTTAGGCAGGGGTCGAAACGAATAATTACTAAACACTACTTCTACGATTCTACTACTAGAACTTTTCCGTCTTTTCACAATTTGGGCACCTCCCATCAGAATCCCACAGTGGTGCTTCTGAAACCACCAAGTCTCCAACTTTCCTCCCCGAAGCTCGCCCAAATGCAACAACTTCAGGGCCACCCTCCAGTCCCCACAACTTCGGATCGCTTGGTCGTTCGCGGCCTTGGAGCTCCCACCAGACGTCACCCCAGCCGCAAGGCCAAGGCAAGGGACAACGCGCGTCACATCTGCGACATGCAACGGTGCCGTCAGGGACCCATAGGGACCCATGGAGTCACTGTACAAGGAAAACACTAAGACAAGGCAGAAAACAACCTGGGCATTTCGAGCCGAAACGCAAAAAACATCCGAGATTGATGGAAAATGGAACACCGGAAAATCCTGTCCATAGTGCAGTCAAAAAATTGGCGAGGGGAGACTGAATATTCTATAAAGTGTTCATGTTGCTGACACAGCCAGTCAATCAAATTTGAAGCCAGATAGCATGGGTCACTGGGCACTGGCAAGTGTTTCGGTCAGTTGATTCAGATAATAAAAAAAGAAAGTTTGAGGATGCAACCCAAATTGGACGACCTATATAACACTGAAATTGGCCAAAACTTGGCCTTTCGATTGGGAATGTCTATCATTTTGACCCATCCAAGCACTTTTTGAAAAGCCTGCACCGCAGTAGAGAAGCTATGAACAAGGTGCCACCCTTCTGCCACGGGGCAGGAGGTTGTGGGAAAAAATCCTGTGGGACACAGTACCACGCTGGAGCGCTTTGTCTCCTGTGGCAACCTGCCATGAATTCTGGGCTGGAGGTAGTTCCTCCAAGCCTAACGGATCAAGGTGGATCACCATGGAACACCTGGCGACGATCTTAGAATCTGAATTCGAGGGGCTCTTCAAATTGCCCAAGCGCCCTCATAAGAGATAGATAGAACCTTGGCTGGAATTCAGCATTGCCAAAGTCATCATGAAAACTCTGTCTTGCAGCATTGGCATGATGGAAGCCATACTGGGCATGATGACAAGGATTTATGATGTACGGTTCACAAAATGGGTTCCAAACCCTAATTATTTGAATGTGTTCAAGATCTTGCTGAAGTTCATTCAACAGTTCATTCAACACGCGAACACCTCTCTAAGCCTTCAAGGTTCAAACAAAGAATCGATAGCCAAAAAAGCCAAACATCCAAGTATAGGAACCAAAAAAAACAAAAAATGACGTCCGAAAATCCGAAAAACTCTTGGAGTGTTGCTATAAGTCACTAGTCATTTAAACATCTTCACTGCACCAGCCCGGTGCCAAGTGACTTGGTTTGCCATGGAGACCATGGCCATCAAGCCCAGCATGCTGGTGCAAATCCTGAGGTCATGGGGTCCATGGTCCAAACGAAGTTCTACTGGTTAATTGGCCAACCAAACCTTGACCCATTCGACCCTCACAATCAAAGACCATCAAGCTCCAAACTGTTTTTTTGGTTGAAGGCTCACTGGCATGAATGCTTGATTGAAACAATGCCTACCTATATATACTATACATGCAGACCTTTTCAATCACAAAGGACCTGCTCAGAGCACTGTTTTGCAAGTCGCCCTGTTGGCGAAGCAAGCGTTCTCACGCACTTTCTTCATCGCCAAAATTGGCGAGCAACTGGCGTGATGAAAGTGATAACTGTCTCACCTTGGACAACACTCCCAACAACAATGTTGGATACAAAACCAGGGAGGAGTGCGTCAAAAGCAACAATCATTTGCCTTGAAGTTTCCCCAGCTCATGTTTTGCGAGGCATCCACAGTGCCAGTGCTGTTGGTGTCTGCAGCTCCAGCGTTCAAGCTCAATGCAAGGATGATGACGCAAGCGACAAAACGGATTTGCGCCATGAACATGCCGACACCCCTAAGCTAAAAAGCGTGCCCGAGTGTTTGAGGAAAAGATGCTTGAGCCACTAATATCAGATGATCGCCACACATCCTCGAATCTTCTGAAATTGATCGAATTTGGATGTTCTTTGTTGACACTGGAGATGTCGGATTTTGACCGTTTTCATCTGAAAGAACTTGGCTTTTAGATCAATCTTCCTGATAATCCTGATAACTTGAGGGAACAATGCTCCATCAATGGGAAGAATATACCTGTTAAGTATAAATTTAGGTTTAGGAAAATCTTGGGCCTGCAAACACTGGAAAATCGAAAATATTTATTTTGTCATGTTGGTTTCATTTTTTTGTCATTCAGAATTGTCATGTTGGATTTGCGTTGTAGTTGTCATTTATTTGTCATGTTTCTGTGATTTTTTGTCATTTTGTTGCCATTTTGTTGTCATTTGTTTGAGGTCATGGGGTCCATGGTCCAAACGAAGTTCTACTGGTTAATTGGCCAACCAAACCTTGACCCATTCGACCCTCACAATCAAAGACCATCAAGCTCCAAACTGTTTTTTTGGTTGAAGGCTCACTGGCATGAATGCTTGATTGAAACAATGCCTACCTATATACTACACATGCAGACCTTTTCAATCACAAAGGACCTGCTCAGAGCACTGTTTTGCAAGTTGCCCTGTTGGCGAAGCAAGCGTTCTCACGCACTTTCTTCGTCGCCAAAATTGGCGAGCAACTGGCGTGATGAAAGTGATAACTGTCTCACCTTGGACAACACTCCCAACAACAATGTTGGATACAAAACCAGGGAGGAGTGCGTCAAAAGCAACAATCATTTGCCTTGAAGTTTCCCCAGCTCATGTTTTGCGAGGCATCCACAGTGCCAGTGCTGTTGGTGTCTGCAGCTCCAGCGCTCAAGCTCAATGCAAGGATGATGACGCAAGCGACAAAACGGATTTGCGCCATGAACATGCCGACACCCCTAAGCTAAAAAGCGTGCCCGAGTGTTTGAGGAAAAGATGCTTGAGCCACTAATACCAAATGATCGCCACACATCCTCGAATCTTCTGAAATTGATCGAATTTTGATGTTCTTGTTGACACTGGAGATGTCGGATTTTGACCGTTTTCATCTGAAAGAACTTGGCTTTTAGATCAATCTTCCTGATAATCCTGATAACTTGAGGGAACAATGCTCCATCAATGGGAAGAATATACCTGTTAAGTATAAATTTAGGTTTAGGAAAATCTTGGGCCTGCAAACACTGGAAAATCGAAAATATTTATTTGCCATTTTGGTGTCATCCTTTTGTCTTGGATTTGCGTTGTAGTTGTCATTTATTTGTCATTTTTCTGACATGTTTTTGTCATTTTGTTGTCATTTTTTCATTTTACTGTCATTTTATTGTCATTTTGGGAATGGGAAAATGAAGAGCTTGCCCTGGGGAATTTGTTTTTGGGCCTGCCTGGACGAGGAGTTGTCTCCCGGCTCAAGGTGCAGGCTTGGGGGGAGGCCGGCTCAAAAACCGGGTGGGCGGGCTGGGGCCGGGGTGAAATGGCCCGGGGGGGCGGCTCAGGGCCGGGAAGCGGGGTCGACCTGGAAACTCAAAAAATGCAACTTTACCAGCACGCGAGTCTTTTTTTTTGCATTTTCTTTGCATCTTTTTGCATGTTTTTTGCGTTTCCCAAACCGGGAGTAATTTTTTGTCATGTTTTTTGCATTTCCTTAGACCGGGTTTGCCACCTTCACCGCTTGCCTGAGAAAATGACAAGAAAATGACCAAAAAATGACCTGCGTGCTGGTGAAATTGCGTTTTTGGACTTTCCAGCTCGGCTCCGGATCCAGCCACCCGGGCTGGATGAGAAAACGATACAAAAATGACAAACAAATGACACAAAAATGACAACAAAATTGCAAAAAATGACGAAAAAATGACAACCAAATGGCAACAAAATGCAATATAAATGACAAAAAATGACACCGCAAAACAGGAATGATAAAAAAAATGACAAAACCAAACGACAAAACAATGACAAAAAAAATGACAAAAATAAATATTCAACAACCCTCAGAGTTTGCTGGTAAGATTTTCATAAATTTAGGTCATGGCATGGCGAGGTCGTCATCACCCAACTGGACTCGCAACTTGGATCCGCCGAGCATCAGCGTTGCAAGGATGGATTCAGAGAAGCAAAGTAGCACCAGCAGCAACGCCAACAAAGCCTGTTGCGCGCCCCCACCGTCGTGCCCTGTTATAACAACTCTGCATGACAACATCAGCCACGGTATGCCTGAGACTTGGAGTACGTACAAGTTGACCGGAAAAAAAAGTTGGCTACAGTCATTTACTGGACTTAAGAAACGATCCAAATTTACATAGCAAACTTTGCAATGATCAAGAAAAACTTTGTTGATGTAAGGCCAAACAAAAAATACAGCCAATACTGAATACTTTCCTAAGTGGATGGCTTAGCCAGCTTAGTCCATGTTTGAGGCCCACATCAACGCCCAGAAACTGCAAGCCACCCCAGGGAAGCTAAAACCACCGGCAGATCCGCCACACAGCTAGCACCAACGGCCTGTCTGCCGGGAGTTTCGACGATTTCTGGACGTTTTTTCATAAGGAACAGATGGAAAAATGGAAAAGTGGGAATATGATGGGGATATATGGGGATACTCTGGATTAAACAATCAAAAATTGAGATATATGGGTGAATCTATATATATATTGTAATACTATACATATTATTTATATATATATATATATAATGTTAATATAAAATATTAATCGAAGGAAGTTTAGAAGCTAAACTTCCGACAATATGGACAGATGAAAAGCAGAGCAGGGAAGAGGCAGAGAGAAGAGACAGTTCAGAAGAGAAAAGATCAGAAGAAAGAAGATGTAGATGCGCTAAAAGATAGGAAAGTCGCGATTCACTGTGTTTTTCCAATGATTTGTGGCTCCGGAGGGTCGAAAAGTAGGCTCGCTAAAGCGGCGCGGAGCCAGCTGGCCAGATGAGACATGAAAAAGTGCACGCCGTTGTGGCGCGAAGCACATTTCCAAGTCAAAATGGACAAAACACTAGAGGATCGGACCACTTTTGGAAGTTGCGATGTCGAAAAAGTGCACGCCGCTGTGGCGCGAAGCACATTTCCAAGTGAAAATGTACAAAACACACCAATGTCGGACCACTTTTGGAAGTTGCGATGTCGAAAAAGTGCACGCCGTTGTGGCGTGAAGCACATTTCCAAGTGAAAATGTACAAAACACACCATGCTCGGACCACTTTTGGAGGCTCAGATGTCGAAAAAGTGGACGCCGTTGTGGCGCGAAGCACATTTTGATGCCAAAATGTTAAAAACAGTAGGGTTTCGGACCACTTTTGGGGGTTCAGATGTCGCTGCGCTTCGCTTCTACACTACATTAGACTACACCACACTCCACCACACTCCACTACACTACACTCCAGTACACTTCACTACATTACACTTCACTACACTCCACCACACTACAACTACAACTACACAACTACAGTCCACTACACTCCACGACACTCCACTACACTCCAACACACTAAATCACACTACACTACACTACACTAGATTACATTACACTACACTCCACCACACCACACAACACTACATTCCCCTACACTACATTACCTTCCACTACACTTCAGTACATTACACGACACTACTCTCCACTACACTACAACTACAACGACAACTACACTAAAATCCCGTGGCCCGTCTGTGACGGCACGAAGAGACAGCAGCAGCCGGAATGCGTTGCGGGCCAGCGTGTGTGTTTTTTCTGACTGCACGATGGCGCATCAGCAGCGGTAATTCATGGCACTGGATCGCGCTGAAGCATCCGTAATTCGTTGCATGCCTGTAACAACACACAGCAGCAGCCGTAATTCATTGCACTTGATCGCGCTGAAGCATCCGTAATTCGTTGAATGCCTGTAACAACACAGTCGCTGAATTGTAAATCCTTTAAGTATAAGTCAGCAGCGGTAATTCATTGCACGGGATCGCGCTGCCGGAATGCGTTGCAGGCCACCGTGTGTGTTTTTTCTGACTGCACGATGGCGCATCAGCAGCGGTAATTCATTGCACTGGATCGCGCTGAAGCACCCGTAATTCGTTGCATGCCTGTAACAACACAGTCGCTGAATTGTAAATCCTTTAAGTATAAGTCAGCAGCGGTAATTCATTGCACGGGATCGCGCTGAAGCATTCGTAATTCGTTGCATACCTGTAACAACACACAGCAGCAGCCGTAATTCATTGCACTTGATCGCGCTGAAGCATCGGTAATTCGTTGCATGCCTGTAACAACACAGTCGCTGAATTGTAAATCCTTTAAGCATAAGTCCTTTAATCCTAAGATTCCTTTAAGTCTAAGATGTCTTTACCCCTCAAGCCTTTAATCCTAAGATCTCTTTAGTTCTAATATCGTTTAACCCTAGCATCCTGCAACCGTAAAATCTCGTGGCCCGTCTCTGACGGCACGAAGAGACAGCAGCAGGCAGAATTCGTTGCGGGCCAGCGTGTGTGTCTTTTCTGACTGCACGATGGCGCATTAGCAGCCGTAATTCATTGCACTTGATCGCGCTGAAGCAGCCGTAATTCGTTGCATGCCTGTAACAACACAGTCGCTGAATTGTAAACCGTTTAAGCACAAGTCCTTTAATCCTAAGATTCCTTTAAGTCTAAGATGTCTATACCCCTCAAGCCTTTAACCTTAAGATCTGTTTAGTCCTAAAATCGTTTAACCCTAAAATCCTTCAACCCTAAAATCCCATGGTCCGTCTGTGACGGCACGAAGAGACAGCAGCAGCCGGAAGTCGTTGCGGGCCAGCGTGTGTGTCTTTTCTGACCAGAACAGGCGCACCACCCGAGGACGCAATAGATTTGCTGGACGCTCTTGGTGAAAGTGCAGCACTTTGGCTGTGCTTGCGGAAGCATCTTGCTTCTGCGGATGCCATTTTTGTCTTGAAGACTTTGAAAGAACATAGCACGTGGCCCATTCGGATGCGGACGGACGCCGAGAAGGAACGCCGTGCATATCTTCATCTCTGGAGAGAGTGCAAACATTATGATCCCGAGTGGGTGCATGCCGAAATGGAACAGCGAAAATCTCGTCTGCGTGGACCGGAAGCAGATGGTTCTCGCTTTCAATAGAAAGCGTGTCTTGTATGGCCGCGCTTCCGAGTCTGCAGCATGTAACTTTGTTGTTACCAGGGTTGTCGTTGGAATGTTTGTTTTTTCTGACCCATCGTGCAACCGCGCGTCGACGAAGGAAAATGACGCCGTGGGCGCTCTTGCAGCCGTCGTTTTTCGAAACACAACACGGGATAGGTGCAATGGAATTGGATGCCATCAATATCGATAGATGCACAGGTAAGACATCGAGAGATAAATCGAAAGAAGGGTGACCAGATGGAGATACAGATCGATTAATAGATCGCTAGATCGCAAGAAGCGTCGATGACCAGATAAACGCATGAGTAGCTAGATAGATGGATGGATGGCTGGAAGAAGACGAAGCCGGACAGATGCATGGATGAATCGATAGAGACACAGAACGAGGAACATGGTGATGGATAGCTGTGGCTAGGGATCGATGCAGAGATGGACGGAACAAAAAAACCAACAGAGAGAAGTAAATGGATGGATGAATGGCTGGATAGACAGAAAGATAAACAGTTTAATAGATACATGAATAGACGGGTAGATAGGTAGATGGCTAGAAAGGTAGCTCTGTAGATAGATGGCGACAGAAAGACACAGAGAGAAAGAGAGACAGAAAGACAGAAACACTCAACCACCTTTCAATCCATCACTGGCTTCGCTCTGCCATCCCTGATTCACAACTACAACTACAACTACACTCCACTACACTAAATTACACTACACTACACTACCTTCCACTACACTTCGCTACATTGCATTACACTACCCTACACTCCACTACACTACAACTACACTACACTACATTACACTACACTACACTTCCTTCCACTACACTTCGCTACATTTCACTACACTACACCCCACAACACTTCATCTACAACTACACAACTACACTCCACTACATTACACTACATTACGCTACACTACATTAAACTGAATGACACTGCACCAAAGATAGACAGGTAGACAGCCAGACAGATAGATAGATAGACAGGTAGACAAGAGTGAGAGAGATCAATCGCCTTTCAGTTCAGCAGTGGTTTCGCTCTGCCATCTCTGAGTCACAACAACCAACCGCTCCTATAGGTTTCCTATTTTTGAAACTTCCGCCACCGCCTTGTGCGGTACTACTGGTACAAAATATGACATTCTGATGTATCCAGAGAAATGGATGGAAATGAATGGGGAAACTGAAGCAAAATATAGGATGTTTGAAACCTGGAGATCAAATTGCAAGGGGACTTTGAAATATAGTGACTTCCAAAAAGGTTCAAAAGTACTTTAAAGTCCGATTATTGTATTCTTTTGGGGTTAGTACAGTATGCTTTGAAATTGAGATCATGCATGTTCAGCTTGTCACAGCACCATCATTTCATTTCCCCCTCTATCCATCGGCTTTTTCCAAGCGCTTTCCAAGCCGCCCACTGGTCCGATGAATGACTGGCCCCCCTACGAAGAATATTTGCTGTGACGGTCTGCTTCTTCTTTGTTTCAAAAACCACAATTTTTGTGGATCAATCATTGCTCATCATTGTCCAACTGACAATGATTCCATCCTTAAAATAACTTGAATCTGTCAATCTTGGCCCAAAGATGCCTCATTGGTAGTTTTGATCCTCAAAAAATGAACGGCATGGGGGGGCACCCAAAATATATCTGTTAGTAAAAAATGTTTTCAACCAGAGACCCTAGATCATTACCCATTACATGCACAGCCCTTTCCATCATCATCCAAGCCACTCCAAACATAGCCATCTCATTCTCCGGCTCCATCCTTGGTCGGCTGGTCAACTGAGATCATGAAATCAGTCAATCTCTGGTTGATATGATCCAAACCCCCCATGAATCGAAAGTCATCTGGGATCATGATTCCAGGTATAGAAAAGGATATCTATAGATTGAACCACCATGCAGATCTGATTGGGAAATCTCTGACTTTTTTGACCTTCAAGTTGGACGGCTTGCAGCAACTTTTGCTGGGGCATGCCACAGGCTATCGGACCTCCAAGTTGAATTCAAATTGACTTCGGGGATTTCCCAGCCACCTTTTGATCGTGTTTGATGACCGGATGGTATCAACTGTATCAACATGATTCAACATGCATCAACCAATTGGTCATCAATATTCTGGTTGGTGGTTTCAACCTACCCCTCTGAAAAATGATGGACTTCGTCAGTTGGGATCATTGTTTATTCCCAATATATGGAAAAATAATCCAAATGTTCCAAACCACCAACCAGATATATCTCATTAACCACTATTAACCACTATTTTTATGGGCCTGATTGGCTGTTGTTGATAAAGATGAACATGAATAGCTGAAGCTATTCCACCGCTATTCGCCCCCCCTCACCGTCCTGGTGGGGTCTTTGGAGATGAGCGGAGAACATCTCCGTCTCCTGGGTAGCAAAAAAATGGGAAGTTTTGGGGGCCTGGGGGGCATTTTGCCAAGGATCTAACATGGTCTACCCTCTGGTAATGGCTGACATAGCTATTGAAAATGGCCATAGAAATAGTGAGTTTTCCCATGAAAAATGGTGATTTTCCATGGCAAACTGTTAGTTTACCAGAGGGTAACCATCCAAACTGGGATTCATGTTAGATCAGTTAGATCAAAGTACTTGGGATCCACAGTAATTTGATGGATTTCCGCATTCGTGTGATTCATGTGAAAAGAATGTACTTTTGATTTCTGGATTTCTGTGATCTTCATGGGTGTTACCAGGGCTTTGACCCATCTGCAACAGACAACTCTTGCTTTTGAAAGCAGAGTAGCCAAGTCATTCTCAAAAAATATCTGGAATCCCTTCAGAGGACATAACTCGGCTTCTTGACATCACATGTCACTACCATTCTCCAGCAGGACGTTTTGGGATCATATCCCCCAAAAACATCGTTCCCCGGCCGCGGACGGTCGACATCCAGGGCACTTGCCATTTCCCGCCATCAGCTCCTCAGCCTTTCGTTTGCCTCAAGCCGCTGCCGCTGGATGCTGGGCTGTTTCGGCCAGGACTTGCCATGGCTTGGGATGGCGCCAGGGAAAAAATTCTCTGAAAATTGCAGGACGGGCTCCCAAATTTGATGGTTGATCAAGTTGATCATCATTTTCCCTATGGAAATGGCAATTCCGGCGCGCACTCCATCGCAACCTCCTCCCAAGGGCCTTCCAGGGGCCAAATCGCCTGACGCATCGTCTCATGCCTACAGCCGGTTGGCAAACGTCGATCATGATCCCTGCCGATCTGCTTCTAATCTGGGTGACAGTAATCGTCAAAGATATCGTCAAAGATCAGCAAACAAAGTGCTGGCGGTGATGGTGAACATCACCGGCGAGCAGGATGGCAGTCACTGTGATCATAATGATAGCTGATAGTAAGCCGAACAAGAAGGTTCCCTAGACCTCAGACCCCAAACAGCAGACCTACAGTATCAGGGACAACAACTTACCACCCCTCCGACGATTCTCCAAATTGTCGTTCTGGGAGTCAGCGCTTCTGGAAGCATGTCAAGCCATGTTCGACCATGTTAAACCATGCCATTTCTTCAGCCATCTCAACATATCAAATGACTCTAAGACACCCCATCTGCAGCTCGCAGCTATGGTTAGTTCAGCACAAATCAGACTCTCCAAGCTGCTTCCACAGCGCTAGAAAGTCCACGGGCAGCTCCATGGCAAGCTGATCTTCAAGGGTGGGGGCAGCTGATGTTCAGAGGAACAAACTGATCAGATGGATCAACAGATTCATCTCATTAAGATGTTCATGAAGCGTTCTACCAATATACCATAGGATATGGTTGATCTGATTTGTTTGATTCATGAAGAAATCCATGAATCCGCCGACCCCGGCCGACGCAAGGGGGAGCGCGTAAGGGAAAAAGAGGTACTGCGCTGTATTTCCCCGTCCAGGAGCCAGCTAGCCAGCTATAAGCAGGCAACAGGCAGCCAGTAGTCAGCAGCCAGGAGCCAGCAGCCAAAACAACAACAAGAACAACAACAACAACAGCAGCAGCAACAGCAGAGATCAAAACAGCCAGGAGCCAGCAGATAGCCAGCAGCCAATAAGCAGCAGCCAGGAGCCAGCAGCCAGCTAGCCAGCACCCAGTGAGCAGGTAACAGGCAGCCAGTAGTCAGCAGCCAAGAGCCAGCGGGCCCACTACCACTACCACGACCACTTCCACTACCACTTCCACTACCACTACCACTACCACTACCACTACTACTACTACTCCTACTACTCCTACTCCTACTCCTACTACTACTACTCCTACTACTCCTACTACTCCTACTACTCCTACTACTCCTCTACTACTCCTACTACTCCTACTACTCCTACTACTCCTACTACTCCTACTACTCCTACTACTCCTACTACTCCTACTACTCCTACTACTACTACTACTACGACTACTACGACTACTACGACTACTACGACTACTACTACTACTACTACTAAGCTATGCAGCTTGTGCTTGGCAGGCTCGCTGGCCACAAAACTGAAAAGTCAAGTTTATTATAGTAAGGTTTTCTCGGACTAGTTCGTCCTTCAGGGCCATGGTGTTTCCCCGTCCGGCAGCGCCGATTTTCTGTTCTGTTTCTAGGGTTTCAGAAGTGACGTTAGGCACTTTTTTTGGTGGGATTCTCGGACTAGTTCGTCCTTCAGGGCCATGGTGTTTCCCCGTCCGGCAGCGCCGATTTTCTGTTCTGTTTCTAGGGTTTCAGAAGTGACGTAAGAGACTTTTTTGGTGGGATTCTCGGACTAGTTCGTCCTTCAGGGCCATGGTGTTTCCCCGTCCGGCAGCGCCGATTTTCTGTTCTGTTTCTAGGGTGTCAGAAGCAACGTTAAAGAGTTTTTTGGTGGGATTCTCGGACTAGTTCGTCCTTCAGGGCCATGGTGTTTTCCCGTCCGGCAGCGCCGATTTTCTGTTCTGTTTCTAGGGTGTCAGAAGCAACGTTAAAGACTTTTTTGGTGGGATTCTCGGACTAGTTCGTCCTTCAGGGCCATGGTGTTTCCCCGTCCGGCAGCGCCGATTTTCTGTTCTGTTTCTAGGGTTTCAGAAGCAACGTTAGAGACTTTTTTGGTGGGATTCTCGGACTATAGTTCGTCCTTCAGGGCCATGGTGTTTCCCCGTCCGGTAGCGCCGATTTTCTGTTCTGTTTCTAAGGTTTTAGAAGCAACGTTAGAGACTTTTTTGGTGGGATTCTCGGACTATAGTTCGTCCTTCAGGGCCATGGTGTTTCCCCGGCCGGCAGCGCCGATTTTCTGTTCTGTTTCTAGGGTTTCAGAAGTAACGTTAGAGATTTTTGGGGGGATTCTCGGACTAGTTCGTCCTTCAGGGCCATGGTGTTTCCCCGTCCCGCAGCGCCGATTTTCTGTTCTGTTTCTAGGGTTTCAGAAGCAACGTTAGAGACTTTTTTTGGTGGGGTTCTCGGACTATAGTTCGTCCTTCAGGGCCATGGTGGTTCCCCGTCCGGCAGCGCCGATTTTCTGTTCTGTTTCTAAGGTTTCAGAAGCAACGTTAAAGACTTTTTTGGTGGGATTCTCGGACTAGTTCGTCCTTCAGGGCCATGGTGTTTCCCCGTCCGGCAGCGCCGATTTTCTGTTCTGTTTCTAGGGTTTCAGAAGTGACGTTAGGCACTTTTTTGGTGGGATTCTCGGACTAGTTCCGTCCTTCAGGGCCATGGTGTTTCCCCGTCCGGACAGACTTTTTGTGGGATCTGGACAGCTGTCATTCAGGGGCCATGGTGTTCCCGTCCGGCAGCGCCGATTTTATGTTCTGTTTCTAGGGTTTCAGAAGTGACGTTAAGCACTTTTTGGTGGGATTCTCGGACTAGTTCGTCCTTCAGGGCCATGGGTGAGTTCCCCGGTCCGGCAGCGCCGATTTTCTGTTGTGGTTTATAGGGTTTCAGAAGTGACGTTAGGCACTTTTTTGGGGGATTCTCGGACTAGTTCGTCCTTCGGGGCCATGGTTGTTTCCCCGTACGGCAGCGCCGATTTTCTGTTCTGCTTCTAGGGTTTCAGAAGCAACGTTAGAGACTTTTTTGGTGGGATTCTCGGACTAGTTCGTCCTTCAGGGCCATGGTGTTTCCCCGTCCGGCAGCGCCGATTTTCTGTTCTGTTTCTAGGGTGTCAGAAGCAACGTTAGAGACTTTTTTGGTGGGATTCTCGGACTATAGTTCGTCCTTCAGGGCCATGGTGTTTTCCCGTCCGGCAGCGCCGATTTTCTGTTCTGTTTCTAGGGTTTCAGAAGCAACGTTAGAGACTTTTTTGGTGGGATTCTCGGACTAGTTCGTCCTTCAGGGCCATGGTGTTTCCCTGTCCGGCAGCGCCGATTTTCTGTTCTGTTTCTAGGGTTTCACAAGTAACGTTAGAGACTTTTTTGGTGGGATTCTCGGACTAGTTCGTCCTTCAGGGCCATGGTGTTTCCCCGTCCCGCAGCGCCGATTTTCTCTTCTGTTTCCAGGGTGTCAGAAGCAACGTTAGAAACTTGTGTGGGGGTGGGATTATCGAATAGTAGTACTTTCAAGGCAATGGTCGGGTCGTTGTGGTTTCCGTCCCGCAGCGCCGATTTTCTGTTCTGTTTCTAGGGTTTCAGAAGCAACGTTAGAGACTTTTTTTGGTGGGGTTCTCGGACTATAGTTCGTCCTTCAGGGCCATGGTGGTTCCCCGTCCGGCAGCGCCGATTTTCTGTTCTGTTTCTAAGGTTTCAGAAGCAACGTTAAAGACTTTTTTGGTGGGATTCTCGGACTAGTTCGTCCTTCAGGGCCATGGTGTTTCCCCGTCCGGCAGCGCCGATTTTCTGTTCTGTTTCTAGGGTTTCAGAAGTGACGTTAGGCACTTTTTTGGTGGGATTCTCGGACTAGTTCCGTCCTTCAGGGCCATGGTGTTTCCCCGTCCGGCAGTGCCGATTTTCTGTTCTGCTTCTAGGGTTTCAGAAGTGACGTTAGGCCCTTTTTTGGTGTTTTTTGGCTACGTTTTGGGCACGAAATTAGGTGCTGTTGCGGATGCGTCACAAAGCTATGCAACTTGTGCTTGGCAGGCTCGCTGGCCACAAAATTGAAAAGTCTCAAACAATTTTTAAAATAGGGTTTCAGAAGTGACGTTAAGCCCTTTTTTGGTGTCCTTTGCTACGTTTGGGGCCACAAAGCTATGCAGCTTGTGCTTGGGAGGCTCGCTTTTCGGCACGAAAGTAGGTGGTGTATTGCCGTTGCGGATGCGTCACAAAGCTATGCAGCTTGTGCTTGGCAGGCTCGCTGGAAACAAAACTGAGAAGCCTCAATTTTATCAAAATTTCAATTCAATTTTATTTCAATTTGACAATTTTATAGTAGGGTTTCAGAAGTGATGTTAGGCCCTTTTTTGGTGTTCTTTTGCTACGTTTTGGGCACGAAATTGGGTGCTGTTTTGCCGTTGCGGATGCGTCACAAAGCCATGCAGGTTGTGCTTGGCAGGCTCGCTGGCGACAAAACTGAAAAATCTCAATTTTTATCAAAGTTTCAACTCAATTTTATTTCAATTTTACAGTTGTATAGTAGGGTTTCAGAAGTGACGTTAGGCCCTTTTTTGGTGTTCTTTTGTTACGTTTTGGGTACGAAATTGGGTGCTGTTTTGCTGTTGCGGATGCGTCACAAAGCTATGCAGCTTGTGCTTGGCAGGCTCGCTGGAAACAAAATTGAAAAGTCTCAATTTTATCAAAGTTTCAATTCAATTTTATTTCAATTTTACAATTTTATAGTAGAGCGTCAGAAGTGACGTTAGGCCCTTTTTTGGTGATCTTTTGCTAGGTTTTGGGCACGAAATTGGGTGCTGTTTTGCCGTTGCGGATGCGTCACAAAGCCATGCAGCTTGTGCTTGGCAGGCTCGCTGGCGACAAAACTGAAAAGTCAAGTTCATAGTAGGGTTTCAGAAGTGACGTTAGGCCCTTTTTTGGTGTTCTTTTGCTACGTTTTGGGCACGAAATTAGGTTCTGTTTTGCCGTTGCGGAACAAAGTTATGCAGCTTGTGCTTGGCAGGCTCGCTGGAAACAAAACTGAAAAGTCTCATTTCTATCCAAGTTTCAATTCAATTTTATTTCAGTTTTATACAATTTTATTTTCAATTTTACAATTTTGTAGTAGGGTTTCAGAAGTGACGTTAGACCCTTTTTTGGTGTTCTTTTGCTACGTTTTGGGCACGAAATTAGGTGCTGTTTTGCCGTGGCGGATGCGTCACAAAGCTATGCAACTTGTGCTTGGCAGGCTCGCTGGCCACAAAACTGGAAAGTCTCAATTTTATAAAAAGCTCAACAATTTTATAGTAGGGTTTCAGAAGTGACGTTAGACCCTTTTTTGGTGTTCTTTTGCTACGTTTTGGGCACGAAATTAGGTGCTGTTTTGCCGTTGCGGATGCGTCACAAAGCTATGCAACTTGTGCTTGGCAGGCTCGCTGGCCACAAAACTGGAAAGTCTCAATTTTATAAAAAGCTCAACAATTTTATAGTAGGGTTTCAGAAATGACGTTTTTTTGGTGTTTTTTTGCTAGGTTTTGGGCACGACATTGGGTGCTGTTTTGCCGTTGCGGAACAAAGTTATGCAGCTTGTGCTTGGCAGGCTCGCTGGAAACAAAACTGAAAAGTCTCATTTTTATCCAAGTTTCAATTCAATTTTATTTCAATTTTATTTTCAATTTTACAATTTTGTAGTAGGGTTTCAGAAATGACGTTAGACCCTT